CTTCTGTTTACCTAACTGAATCTCTAGTGACGATTTATGACGGTTACCGAGGCGGAACGGCACTGCAATTTAGTTCGCAACCGACCCTGAACTACTTGTTAAGTTATCCAGATTCTTCCCATTGAGCTGGTACAGGGCGGAGAATGTCAGAATTAACCGAGCTGGCTTCAATCATATTACTTGTTTTGGATATACAGTTGTGGATGCTCCGCCGCAGCAGCACAGGGGGCTTGCTGTTTGCTGCAAGCCTATTCCATCAATGATGATCAACTCATGATGGGATGGGCTATGCTAATCAGATGCTGCTTGCTTGCTGATGACAAAGCCTCCAATTGAAGTCCCTGAGTGACTTTTCCTAAAGCTACGTAGTCAGAATGTCAGAAGATGCCGTTGTAACGATCCATTCTCCGGCACATCTCGTGTACTGTACCTTAATCCATGTCGATCAACAACCACAGACAACACCACCACTTGCCATAGCATGTAACAAGAAGCAACTCATGCCGTCGAAGCCCACTTTGTGAGAATGCGCAGTCCACTCATGCTGCCCAGCTGTCACAGAACCTGCCCGTACTAGACAACTTTCAGGGCTGTCGTCCTCCACTAGACCTCACCTCATCATCAGCTAAAAAAGAACCCCCGGCCCCGTTTTCTACGTCGAAGCTCCACATGGTCTACCCGTTCAGGGGAGCACCTCAGCACATACAGTGAGTACAGTACAGTGCAGTTAGTCCGTGGAAACGCGGGTGGGCTCTCCACCATCACCGATGCCACCACCGTCCGTCGCTGTCGTAAACAAGCCCGGCTGTTCCAACAATAGAAAAGAGGCTGCCTCTCTAGCTTTGGATCTACCGCGTATAGTATAACTATTAAACGTTAGGTTCTTGGGGATATCTTTGATTGGCATCAGATTATCGATCTATTCATTCCTTAACATCTCGAATGACTCGTTTCATCTTTTCTACCTAAGGTACCTAACTCTACACAATCTTCACAATCTGATGCACGGGCATCAGCCCAGTCCAGTCCGCCTCAGCTCCATTTTAGACTGAGGCTAACGAAAGAAACAGGTTGGTCTGACAAAAAAAGAACAGCACCACCTCACCAAAGTCCTTGACTGTCCTATCATCTCGGTCAATCAATCAACCATCATCAGCCCTGCTCGTCAGTCTTGGTCTCGTATTCCCAATCCGTTAAACATCATTCCTTCATCTTCTTTCTTGTTTCTCTGCTATTCTATCTATATATTCTTTGATGAGCTTGTTTATCCAACCAGCGGCCTGGCACTCGCTCCGTCCTAGACATTACTCTCCCGTCACCATTAAAAACGCGCTGATCTCACTCACTGCACAAACCCAGGACTGCACTGCATTAGTACCCTGGCAGCTGAACTGTATACTAGCACCGTATTTACGTACTGCCTGCACCTGCTCCTGTCCTGGCTGGTTCCATCTGGCCCTGTCCTCCTCGCTCCACGTCCGCGCGCTCATTCAGGTCCGGACGTCCCTTGTTACTTTACTCACCCATCCAACGATTCTCTTACCAAAAAGTCCGTTGGCAAAAAAAATAAGGGGTCCTATCTCAGATCTCGACGACATTTCTCTGACCGAGCCGACCTCACTCTCCAATTAATCATCATCACCTTCATATCACTCAATCTTGTCCTATCCAATCCCTTTCGGCCTAGCCTAGCTTGTTCCTCCTGTTATCACCGCGACGACGCCCTCTTGAACGCTGTAGCTCGTTGCTCTTCCACCCATAATCAATCGACGGCAACGATCAACCGACGCATCACCCAGATCTGGGGCCAGTAGCAGACTCCAGATCCGATTCCCTCCTACGATTAGTCTCGAAACGTCATCATCACGCAGCCTCGAGGCCATATAACTCAGTCATCATGAGCGCAAATCCTACCAACGTTATCCGCAGGTACGACTTCATCGCGCTCCCAAGCTCTGCTCCCCATCCGGCCCAAAATGATACTCCTCCCTGCCACACCAATCATCACATGCTCAAGATGTTTGAACATCAATCAGATCACTAACGACGTACCGTAGGAAGTTGGTCATTATCGGTGATGGTGCCTGCGGCAAGACCAGTTTGCTGAGCGTATTTACGCTGGGTTACTTTCCTACAGTGAGTCCTCCAAATCTACATATCGTAATCAAATCTTGCTAACCTGTTTGCAGCATTATGTGAGCCTCGACCATAACGTAACCCTTGCGACGACGATTATTGACTTCGTATTATATAGATCCCCACAGTCTTTGAGAACTATGTGACAGATTGTAGAGTAGACGGCAAGTCCGTCCAGCTTGCTCTATGGGATACCGCTGGCCAAGAAGACTACGAACGATTACGACCGCTCGCCTACTCCAAAGCCCATGTCATCTTGATAGGATTTTCTGTCGACACACCAGATTCCCTTGATAATGTTAAGCACAAGGTACGGCCCCCTCGGCATGCGGTATGCGCTTAGTGATGAACCCTGGAAAGCTGACGTGTTTGCCCTGCAGTGGATTGAGGAAGCCACCCGCCTGTGCACCGGCGTTCCCATTATTCTCGTTGGTCTTAAGAAAGATCTTCGAGAGGACCCCGTCGCGATCGAGGAAATGCGCAAGAAGTCGATGCGTTTTGTGTCTGAACATGATGGAGAGTCAATCGCTCGGGAAATTGGCGCAAAGCGATATCTTGAATGCTCCAGCTTGAGCGGCGAAGGCGTCGACGACGTATTTGAGGCTGCCACTCGTGCTGCCCTGCTGACCTTTGAGAAGGGCGAGGGCGGCGGTTGCTGCGTTGTGCTGTAAAACCGTCAGCCATGCGATGCGCCTCCGAACGAACCACCATCCACGCCACTTGGATGTACTCACACACAATACCAGGGACATCAGGCAGCTGTTCCTAGGTTTTATCTTGAAGCGAACGATCACCACTTCGCCTCGGCCGCAATATCAAACATATGTTCAGACAACTGGAGACGAGTGTAGATTTTTGGATCATCAGGGAATCAATTTAGGATATAGAGGATTTATTGCTCGGCGCCCCAGGAGGACAACTTCCTTTCTTATACTCTACACTCGCTCACTCTCAAAACTCATCATCACGGAATTGAAGCTCAAGGCAGCATCACATTTCGGCGCTTCGGCCGACCCGATACTATTTACTATCTATTTATTCCACGGCCGATCTTATCTCAAATGCCGACATCCTCACTATCACGTTTCCTTTCTGGCGTTGTTATTCAGCAGACAATCAACATGTAAAGACTCGTTCATCGAGTCTTTTCAGACACAAACAAGTGACTACCATCCAGCCATACGCACCCTCATTTTTATTACGATCGAACTGCATTTTGGATCTGTTTCGAATACTGGCCATATCATCTCACCTGACACTCGTAATACCTGAGCGGAATTGCTGAAACATCTTTTATATACTTGGCATCCTGAGGAGAGACAAAAATCGGAGAGGAGCAAGGTCGCATGGGCAGAAAGAAGGACACTTGCATGATTTGGTTCGAGCGGGTTAAGATACGCATATTCACTCTCTGTATTAATAATCGAATAGCGGCATAGAAGTGGCTTTGTCGAGCGTTGGAAAGATGAGAGTGAATCAATGACATGGACTAAGACGACGGGAGATTGGTGCTGCCGTTTACGGACCTGATACTTAATGAGAGTGATGATCTTTGCATCTAATGTGGTTCATACATAACTAAGGTAGCTATTTTTCACGGCGTCTTTGAGAGGATTGAGTGACCTCAAGTGGTATCTTGCCTTCCCTTGCATAGACTTAACGAGAATCGTAAACATTGGCTTTCTAATTACTATCATCTGAAAGCTGCTCTATCATACATACAGTACACGTTCTATTATAAACAATTTTCCCCTGTTCGAAAGAGTAAACAAAGCTTTAATCGTTGTTCCTCTTCCACTCGTGGTTCCAAGCGTTCTTAGCTGGGTGATCTGTTTGGTAACGAGCATACTCAATGGGAATTGCGTCAAGACCCCAGACACCCTTCTTTTCCATAGCAACACGGTACAGGTAGCCCTCGTCTCTGTTTCCTGGGCCAACTGTTTTGCGCAGCTCTTCACAAGCATTGTACATGCCGCTGAAGATGCGGGAGCGTTCCTGCTCAGTTGCTAAGTGCTGCTGTCGACGGAAGAGTTGCCAAGCGCGGTGGATGGTCCAGTGGCGGAGGTATCGAAGACGGGCCATTCGTAGAGGAGGGGGAGCGGGAGAGAACATATTTTGGCGGAGCGTGCGGATGCGGTAGAAGTTTTCGGATTTAGGAGCTGCGTGCTTTCGGCGAGGAGGGACTTTGCCGGCATTGGGGTTCTTCGGCGCGGCCTTGGGAGGTGTGCGAGCAAGCATGTTCGCTGTGGTAGAGAAAAGACGAGTCGTTTGCGTTGTAGAAGCAGGCTGACGGGTTAAAAGCCCGCGGAGAGAAAATATCGAGGACATCGTAAGGTTTAGCGGTGCGAAGCAGGCGGGGGGAGTCTCAAGTTGTTGACCACGACATAAATATCCAGGACAATGGTACTGCAACAATGGCACAATCAACTAAAATTCGAAGGGAATCGGCGGTAATGATCGTTCGGCGGCTCGATTCGTCTTAATTCTCAGTAGAGAAAGGGACAAGCTCATTGAATGGTTGTACCAAGACTTTGTCTGCCTTGATTGACTCGTTCTTGGGCCTGACGCAGTTCTTCCTGAATCAAATGATCGTATGGTTTGAGTGCGTCTCGGCAATCGCTCAACCGGGGCAAGTTATTCTTAACACTCGGGTTGATACAGTCGTCTTGGAAAGTTTGCTTATTGTAGAGGCTCCAGATGTCCTGTAACGAGGAAATTGTTAGCTTGATTCGGTTCGGGTAAATATTTGACCGCGCCCAGCCCAAACCCAAGCCAACTTCAACTCAGACTTCAAAGGCTTGTCATAAGACGATGATGCCTCTGAGTTCGTGAAATTGTTGTCTAAATTCAGACAAAATCGAATTTCAAATATGGGAAGCGCTGAAACGGACAGTGCTGGAAGGTTGAAGACTTACCGATTGCCCCTGATTTTCGTAGATAAAGAGTTCTCGACGATTCCCATAATGGAAATGGTGCCACGCCATTGTTTGCAGCTGAGTGTTCCAGTGGTCTGCAAGAACTTGCAGTGATAGACCGGTGACATTTGTGAGAAGATATTCTAGTTCTAGCGACTGAACACCTTCGTAGACTTCAGGCACATCTTTGAGTCGAAGTATAAGCCACGCAACCTCTTGGGCTGCTGGATGCTGCCAAATGCAGATCCTGGTCACTTGGGCTGGAAACACAAAATTGGTTCTTTGGGAGCAAGATGTCCAGTCTTCTAGGATGTCTCTGAAATCATCAGGAACTATCATCGGTTTTGAGCGTATGTATTCGTGTCTCGGGAAGAGGGCTTTGTGATATCTGCCGCAGAGGAGCGCAATCTCGCTGAAGAACAATTCGGAGGCTGGCTTCCAGAGGGTCATGAGACGTAGCCTGTACTCAAAGGAGCTTCGAGGTACTTGGCCTTCATATGTGAAGTTCATGATGCTCGGCGTGATGTTCAGTCCTTCAGCGAACGGCAAAGGGTTCGAGTATCGGAAAATAAAGGTTCCAGGGGAGTATCCGAGAAACCATCTCCCATAACGCATGAATAGAAACTGAATGACTCGGAAATTTTCAAGGCGATCTCCTATCGTGACTTGTACCTGCCTCGCTATCTGCACCGGTTGATTGTAGATGGACGTGCTTAGAACGTCCCTCGGATCAACAATTCGGTTTTCCTTCTCGGCTTGCAGAAGATACCTGAGTTTTGGCAAGGCTGTATTATGAAGCTGTCTGTAGTTCTCGATGATGGTTTCGTAAACCCCTTCCGGCAAGTCGGCGGCAGGTATCTTGTGTGTGATAAGCAGATCATAGGATGCCTGGTAAAACGCTTGGTTGGCCACACTCTTAGCCACCTTTGCTTTGAGTTGTTCCACGACTGACGCATATCGTTGCTCTTCGGAGTGTACCCCCATGTAACAAACGGTGAAACCATGGACGTGAAGAAACTCGGTAGGGGTATACGGAAACGGAAGGCCAAGGCAAGGACCACAAACGTCCGGGCCCTGAGCACGTTGGGGACGACCACTTCCCCGCAGGTGGCCACGGCCGGCCCTTCGAAGTTCTTGACCTCTTGGCATCTAGAGACAGTGTTGAAGGTATATATACGGGTTTGGACTGTAAGAATATCCGGTTAGAATACCCAAAAAGATAGGTCTGACTGAAGTGGGCGAGAATGGGAAGATAAAGATGAGAATGAGAAGTTTAGAGACAAAGGCGATGTATTGGAAAAATCAAAGCAGGGAAGAAGAAAGAGCAGGTTGCTTTTGCCATGCTTTTTGTATAAGGCAAGGTAGACTCAATTTTGGCTTTTGTGTTCGCAGAGAAACTTCTGAAATATGAAGCTTAGGTAGGAAGGTTAGGTTGCCACCTTCAGGGAAACAAGAAGACTTCTGAGTCCTGACTTCTAGGCAAGTAGGAAAGACCTGAAAGCATGTAGTAGAGACCTGTGCCGGCCAGTATGGACTCGGTAGGCCTCAAGACTGCCCACCTAATCATTTTGGCACCTTTGTTCACTGTCAGGAGTGATCTTACCTCCTGAAGGCCACCAGCATTTCTAAACCAAATGGGTGATAAAATAAAAAACAGTATGGATTGGCTCTTCAGCTTGATCATTAGAAGAAGTCACGTTTTGAAGCATCGTTGAGACTGGGGCTCACTCGAGAAGCAGCGGTTGTTGAATAGAACATGGCCCTGAACCAAAGACTAAGGCAGATCATCCAAAAGAACCCCCTTGAAAACTAAAAGGATCCTTTGGCCGCCTTGACAATGACCTCTTACCTAGAGATCTTGGAAGCAATGGAGAATACTGCACACATGTGGCAGAATTAAACGCCGAAAGGTTTGTAGTGGCGCAGATCAAGAAGCGGAAGTATATCGTTGACTAGAACCTTGACTCAAAAGTTACTATAGTAGTCGGTAGGTGAGGACTTAGTTTTATGACACCTCGGCGGCCCAAAAGGCGGTTGTTTTGGAAATGGAAAATTCGAGACAGGACTCAAATGAAATAACAGGATTAGTGTACATTTGTCTCTTGGTGGTGGTAGTATTGATGGACGCTGTAAGAAAAGGGGCACCGATGGCCTTTGATATCGTGAACATGAGGCCTAAGCCACACAATAAGAAAGTGAAACGGATACAGGTTTTGCGCTAGTTAACTTAGATATGAGAGAGACGAATAGATCTCGTTTTTGGAAGTAAATTCGATGTCAAATCATCGATTGGTCGTAAATCGACCAAGTTCTGATGTCTTGCCCCTAGATTCACTGACACTGCCATCCGTCTCACCTAACTCTCACACGGACTGACAGTCCCAACTTGTTCACGGATCTCATCAGTGTATATCTGATAATTCTTCTGCAAGCTTTTGTTGTTTCCCTTTCACCACCAACAAACTTCATCTTACGCACCAACAAACTCATCACACACCCCCCTTCACCATCACCACATCCCTCTTCACACTTATTAAAGTGCTTTACAAGGTATTTGGCAAACAAATCTCTCGGATACAAGCAGTTACTTATCGCAAAGAACTAGATAAACAAAATGGACAGCCCTTACGCCTCCAGCACCAACCCGTCTTCGGGCTCTGCGCCTGATAATGCCCCTCAGGCTAATGATTATCGGATCCGACGTCGAGCCCAGGAAAGTTTGAGGGGGCCTGGCGCTTCCGAAAATAGGTCCAGCCCAGCGCCTGAGGATCTAGAGGATGTCCCGCTTGAGGATGACAACTCTGACCAGGAAGAGCGTGAGGAAGGGTACGACATCCTCGACGGGGCGCTCGTTCGAGGGGCGATGCATCGAGATCGCTCCATGAACGAACTCGCCCCTGACGAGGACTCTGATGACGAAGAACCCTCATCGGAGGAGCTCCAGTTCGACGACGCTGGAGTGGTAGGGTACTTTGGCGCTGCGATGCTCAGCGAGACTGAAGAGGCGCATAGCCAGAGGTATGATTTGTGATTGTTTTTGGCTCCTATCCCTCGGAGCCGTCTATGTTTAAGAACCTAAAAAACTAACTTAAAATAGCACCTCTCAGATCATCCAGAACCCTTCTGGCACAAGCGTCCCTCAAGGAGTTCTTGCTGCAACCGCACAGATTGCGCAGAACAACCTCGTTAGGTCATACGACAACCTTGCCGGCGGGCTCACCTACACTGCCCAGCGTGCCCAAGATGCCCTGGCGACCACTGCCCAGGCAGGGGGCCATCTAGCTCAAGGGGCCCGGCATGCTGGCAATGGTGTCGCGATTTGGGCTCAGGAACGATGGCCCAACATGCCTCGTGTACTCAACCGTAGGGTGTTGGGTTCTCTGGCCGAGATTGTGATGGAGGGTGTTCAAGCCTTGCCACCTTCGGACTCCATCATTCGCCCACAAGGACGGCGATGAGTTAGGGGACCAAGGTAGGCTATGGCTTTCTGCCGCTACAAGTGACGGATTGCGTGCAGGCATCTGGCTCTGGAAGCCGATGGGCGTGGGATTATAGGACAAAAGTCGTTTGCTGTTTTTGTGTTTTTCTTTTGCGGATGATACCAATATATTAGAACAAAGAGAGCAATCAGCATGGCGCTCGGAAATGGAGCATGGAATTTGCAGGCTAAAAGTTAATCAGGATTCATTGTTAATGAATGGACAGGAGAGGAAGCATTCGGGATCACGCATCCAGAGCCGGCGTATAGAGAACAAAATTGCTTTATTATGCAAAACACCATTGTGTCGCCAACAAACTACATTAAACTCCAAGTCCCATGCCGTAATTCCTTACCCATTTTGAACCAGATCATCATTAGTGCTCGTGTGTCACGTTGTTGAGATCCCTGAACTCGCCGCGTAGGCTCTCGATCCCTTCTGCCTTGACCTCGTCGACAAGCTTGGCCACCTCGGGGGCAATGACATTCTCATCAAAGCCGAAGTATTTGTAAGCGTCTTTACCAGGTAGTGATTTGCCGAAAGTGGTCATTGAGTAACCAGCATCGGCGTATCGCTCCCAGCCATTGACTGCGTAGGCCTCAATCACAACTCGAGGGGCGTTGGAGCGGTATTGAAGGACTTGACGTTTGTACTCGAGGGGTTGGGAGTTGAAGAGACGTTGGCAAGGGAACGAGACCACGCGGGCCTTGATGCCGAACTTCTCCTTGAGGACCTCGCGGGTCTTGACGGCGAAGACCATTTCGGCGCCGACGCCGATGAGAGTAACGTCGGCATCTTCCTCCTCGATGAAGACATAAGCACCCTTCTGAATACCTTCCCGGCTAGAGTACTCAGGGTACTGCTCGAGGTTCTGACGGGAGAGGGAGATGATAGATGGGGTGTCCTTGGCCTCGAGGGCGGTGATGAAGGCACCGGCCGTCTCTTCGGTATCGCAAGGTCGGATGTAAAGGATGTTGGGCATGGAGCGATACAGAGCAGGGAGAGCAATCGGTTGGTGGGTTGGGCCGTCTTCACCAGTACCGATCGAGTCGTGAGTGGCAATGTGGATGGCTTGGAGGTTTTGAAGAGCGCCCATGCGGACACCGGGAGCGGCGTAGATGTAGAACATGAAGAAACTTGAGGTGACGGGGAGGATCGTGCCTTTGCCGTAAGCGGCGAGACCATTGGAGATAGAAGCCATCGCATGTTCGCGGATACCCCAATGGATGTAACGGCCAGAATAGTTGCCATTGATGCCGCAAGTGGTCTTGAGGTCGGGCTATTACTGTGTTAGTGACAGGCTATTGGTTGTGTCAGGAGAGAACTTACATGCTGGAAGTCAACCTTGTCCTTCCAGATCATGTTAACCGAGGGAGACAGATCAGCTGTGCCGACCATGAAGTTCTTGAGTTTGGCAGCCAGGGGGTTGCAGATGATACCGGCAGACTTTCGAGAAGGTGTAGGAGCAGTAGGGAATGACTCCTTGGCAGGGATGATGCTTCGCCAGTCGTCAGTAAAGCGGCCTTCGACGCGCTTCATGAACTCCTCATGAAGATCAGGGTACTCCTTGCTGTAAGCATCAACAAGGCTTTTCCAATCCTCGACGAGTCGGTCGCCACGAGTCTTGCGGTCGCGGAAGAAGCCGTAGACCTCATCAGAGACGACGTAGTGTTTCTCAGGGTCCATGCCGAAACGTTCCTTGACAGCCTTGACACCATCGGGACTGAAAGCGGCACCGTGGGCTTTGGCATCACCGGCAACTTTGCTACCGACTCCGATGACGGTGTGAATGTTGATAAAGGTGGGCTTGTCGGTACTGGCCTCTGCCTTGAGGAGGGCCTTGACGATACCCTCGACATCGAAACAGCCGTCCTCCACCTCGATAACGTCCCAACCACAGGCAAGCATCTTGGCGTTGACGTCCTCGGTGTTGCAGAGGTCAACACTACCGTCGCAAGTAATCTGGTTGTTGTCGTACATGACGACCAGGTTGTTGAGCTTCCAATGGCCTGCCAGCTGAACAGCCTCAAGGGCCACACCCTCTTGTAGACAAGCATCGCCGATCATGCAGTAAGTCATGTTGTTGATGAGATCGTAGTTAGGCTTGTTGTAAGTTGCCGCAAGGTTCTTAGTCGCCATGGCGAGACCGACAGCATTGGCGATACCTTGTCCAAGGGGACCGGTCGTTACTTCGATGCCCTCATGCTCAATCTCAGGATGGCCGGGCGCCAATGAGTCGTAGTTGGATGAGTGGTAGGACTTGAGGTGCTCAAAAGTCATGGCCTTGTAGCCTGTGAGATGAAGGAATGTGTACTGGAAGAGACATGTGTGGCCGTTGGAGAGGACGAAGCGATCGCGGTTGAAGTAGTCAGGGTCGTTGGGAGAGTACTGCATCACGTACTTCCAGAGAGCGAGGCCAATGGCCGCCATACCCATAGCACCTCTGTAAGTAAGTCAGTATATGCCATTTTACGCATTCCAATACTTGTAAATCTTACCCAGGGTGACCGCCCTTGAACTGCTCGCAAAGATCAGCGATCAAGCAGCGAAATTGTCGAAGGGCAAGATCAATTGTCTCTGCATCATCGTTCTTGATCAACTTGACAACGTTGGAAAGAGCTACAGGCTCTTCCTGTGTCTCTGGGGTGATTGCGCTGGGTGCCATCTTGGACTGGATCTGTGACTCTGTGATGCTCTTACAGGACAAGTAGATGATGAGTGCAATTGAGAAGCATCGACAGTGCCTCTTGAGTTATAGAGATTTCGAAAAAGGCATCTTTTGCGCGTGATCTTTCTCATAACGACGGTCATGTTCATTGTGGCCATGGCACACCGGGTTACCCCAACAGGGCAGGGGAAAGCGCCGTGGGGATATCGTGCGTTTGCCATTTGACGTGGGGTTCTTGATGAGTTTGACATTATTGGATTGAGTGAGGATCGGGTTCTGAATCAGGAAGTTGGAGGCACCAGATCACGGCTTTGCCTCTTGAGGTTAGAGTCGAGATTGCGCTTAGAACTGCCATGGACTTGATGCTTGGGGTATTGGCGCATCATGTTCGTGTGGAGAAAGGTTGCAATTGTTTGGGGGACGGAAATACTGATGAGGTTAGTGTGTCGTCTGTAATCACCTCAGTGTTGTACAGTTCTGGGAACCTGCATTTGACAGAGATTGCTAGGTGAAAGAAACAACCGGACTTGTTTGTAGAACCAAAGGCCAACAAAAACAAACGATCAGTTCAGGGGCTAAGACACAGTGGAGACACTCCGGTATTTGTGTCTTGCCAACACCCGACCACATCTTTTTGTCCCCCCTCTCTCAGCCTGGAAATACTGCATCTTCGTGAAGACCACGACTGTCGGAGTGAGATCCAATGTGACAACCTCCGGCTACAATTGCCTCGTCGAATCAACCAGGAATCACGCTTCAAACTCAATTTGAGACACATCATTCTTCGCATCGACCTTCCGAAGGAACCCCATGACGGTAATGCTTGACTCGACACATCTTCGGCGCCTCCAGAAATGGATATCCGTCCATGGTATATCCTGACGAGTGTGCGTCTCCAAAACCTTTGTCTCCCATCAGATTCAATTATTTTCCTCACTTGTCATTCTTTCCCGACCTCGTTGATACCCATACAACTTCACCGTCACAATGGCTCCCGCTATCGTATCCGACATTGAGCTCCCGGCCCATGTGCCCGAGACTAGAGAAACAGCCGCCTCAAAAGCATCAACGTTCAAGCTCTTTTCTCTCGAGAACAAGACCGTCGCCATCACTGGCGGAGCTCGTGGTCTGGGTATCACACTCGCCATTGCCGTTGTCGAGGCCGGCGGTAGTGTAGCTTGCCTCGATATTCTCGAGGAGCCATCGCCAGCTGAGTGGGCACGGCTCAACAAGATCGCCACAGCCAACAAGGCTTCCGTCTCATACCGAAAATGCGACGTCACAGAAGAGCAGTCCGTCGAGACAGCGATGAAGGAGATCGCTGCTGAGGCTGACCTGTCTGGAGCGCCTTTCTGGGGAACAATTGCCTGTGCCGGCATTCAGCAACAGATTGCGGCGCTGGACTACCCAGCTGCCGACTTTGACTGTATCCTACGAGTCAATGTAACTGGTGTCTTCAACACTTGCAAGTATGCAGCACGCGTTCTGCGAGAGAAGAACAGCCCTGGAAGCATCGTCATCATTGGAAGCATGTCAGGCAACATCGCCAACCGAGTAAGTCCTCAAAGCATCATCAAGCATACCGACAGACTAACAGGGGATAGGGTCTCTCTTGCACAGCTTACAACTCCAGCAAGGCTGCTGTTCAACAAATGTGCCGATCGGTCGCTCAAGAATGGGGTCAGTACGGTATTAGAGTCAACACATTGTCTCCCGGATACATCAGAACTGCCATGACGGATCAATTGCTTCAAGAGAACCCCGAGGTTGAGAAGACATGGATGGCGGGTGCTTTGCTGGGCCGCTTGGGTGCTCCTGAAGACTTCAAGGCACCAGCTGTATTCCTGCTGTCCGAGGGTGCTTCATTCGTTCATGGAGCGGATTTGAGGGTCGATGGAGGACATTGCGCATCTGCATGATTGATTAGAGCGTTTGTCAATACAAGAAACTTTACGATTTGATTGCTGGATGTCCGAGAAACGTCCAACGGTCCGGGGGTCAACTGATTGACCGCCCATTCCACTACATCTAGAACCGAGACCTTTACTAATGAACACCCAAAAGCCATCTTTGAGCTCAATTAAGGCCGCATGAAAAATAGATAAAGTTATTTACCTCATTGAGCTATTCGAACGCCAGGTGACCTTAGTCTATGGCGTTCACACTGCCACCACCAAAATCTGGCGCTAATTCAGCCTCCGGTGTTAGTCGCGGAAGCCTTGCGAGGTTGTTTCAGTAATTTGGCTGCCTCAGCTGAACACATATAAAAGGCGACAACTACCCATATTTGGTCGTGCCATTTAATCAAAAACATTACAATCAATCGCAATGGCCTCTATAATCCTCTCAGACAATGCACACAAGGCGCTGGAGCCTTTGCACCTCCAAGATCGTATCGTCGGTACCATTTTCGGCTCAGCGCTTGGAGACGCAATTGGCTTATACACTGAGTTTCTGTCCGCCGACATCTCGGCAAAAGCATATCCCGACCGCAAGTTTACGTTTCTCCCTGCTGAAAATGCAACGCCTTTTCGACGCGACCACCACAGAAATTTCCATCGCACTGGAGAATGGACTGACGACACCGATCATGCTGTTCTGATACTGCTCTCCTTCCTCCATAGCGATGGCAAGAAGCTTGACCCGCAAGACTTTGCGTCGAGACTGTCAGTTTGGGTGCGTATGGGACTGAGAGCGCTGGATACCCTGCCTCTTGGTCTTGGACGCACAGTCGGCGGGATCGTGCGTAGTAAATCTTACCTAGATGATCCTGAGGGCACGGCACGCAAGTTCTGGGTGACGGGGAAGTACAATGCTGCGCCCAATGGAAGCCTGATGAGAACACATCCTCTGGGCCTCATGTGTCTTACCAAGTCCGTTGAGGAGACCTTTAAGGTCGCAGCGGATTTCTCCGTCGTTACACATGTTGACCCCAGATGCGTGGTCTCTTGCGCCATTGGTACGGCTCTTGTTCGTGGCCTTGTCCTCGGCGAGATCTACGAAGAACAACAGGTTGATGAGTTGATCGAAACCGGCCTTACATGGTACAACGAGCTCCGCGAAAAAGAATTGCAGGATCCAGACAAGAAAGAAGAGCCCCGCCTGGACATTGACGAGTTCAGAAAGCATGCGGCAGCTGAATCTCTCGCGGATCTCAAGTTGGATGAGAGTTACAAGATCGGATACGTTTACAAGACATTTGGCTCTGGTATCCTGCTGCTTCGACTAGCACTACGCCAACTCAAGTCTTCTGGAAAATTATGCTCACAGCTTGCCATTTTTGAGAAGCTCATCACAGATCTGACAATGGAAGGCGGCGATGCAGACACAAACGCCTGCTTTGCCGGTGCTCTTTTAGGAGCATTGCTCGGATACAAGTCCTTACCTCCACATTGGCGCGATGGCCTCCGTCATGGAACATGGCTCATGGAGAAGTCTGAGGGGCTCTGTGATGTGTTGGGTGTGACAAAGGGTTCATACTCGGGGTCCCGGGACAAGGATACTGCTGAAGACGGTGGACGTGGGTTCTTGACGGATGCACAGATGGAAGAGAAGTGTATGAGGATGCAGGCTTGGATGGCACAGGAGGAAACGGAATGGAAGAAGAAGCATGAGAACGAGAAGAAGAAACCCAATTGGTTTCCTTGGAAATAGTAAATTGGCAAGATACCATGTAGTCTTTGCATACCACGCGTTTGAGTGCCTTTATGTTCTGAAAGACGGCTGAAGTCCATCTTCTCTAATATCAATGGAATGGTTGACTTATGTCTTTGCGAATCCGATTGCGTATATAATACAGTACTAAATGATCATAAATCGAATGTTGTATCGACCATGTCCAAACTTAGCAGGTGTATAAGAGACCCCTTTTCATCCAGTTCAGTCCCTCCACCGTTTTACTCCCTCATATGAACCTCAGTCTCAAACTTCTCATTGCTCTCAGTCTCACCAGTTTCACCACCGGCGCTCTTCTCAGAAGCCTCTCCAGGGACTCCCATGCTGTGATCCCAGTGAAGCAAGACCTTTGGACCAGTGAAGAGCTTGTCGATCTGCTCGAGAGACAACAGTCGAGTCTCGGGGTAGAAAAAGTAGATGAGGGGAACGAAGAAAGCGTTGAAGATGCAGAAGTAGATGTACGTCTTCCAGCCGATGCTTTTGATGGACACTGGAGTGATCTCGACGACGAGGAAGGTGAAGATCCAGTTGGAGGCTGTTGCAAGGGCGGCGGCGCGAGTGCGGATGGCCAAGGGAGCGTATTCGGCGGGCACTGGACTTTGTTAGTTGGGCTAGTCTGGGAGACACTGGGGAGCGTTGACTTACAGAGCCAGGGGATGGCGAGCAATCCAACAGCAAAGAAGAAGTCTACCATGGAGTTAGTTAGGCCCATATATTTTTCAGGGGCTGACTTACTGAACAAGAAGAGCATGACAATGGCCACAATACCAGGTCCAGGCTGCCCAGTAGACACGGTTCCAGCCAAGACAGCCATGCAGACTGCTTGACCAGCGGCAGCAAACATCATCAACTTGCGGCGACCGAGACGATCAATGATCCAGATGGGGATAAGCGAAGAGAAGAAGTAGGCGACGCCATTGAAGCCAGCGAGAAGAAGACTTAGATTATGGGAAATGCCGACTGATTCTTGGAAGATGACGGGGGCGTACTATAACTTGGTGTTAGTGATTTGGGCCTATACTGATGACAATTCGGTTCAGGGGACTTACATATGTGATAAGGTTGATACCAGAAAGCTATTTGAAGAGCGTATTAGCCAGGAACCATGAAGGAAACAGCAGATTGACGCCTTACCTGTTGCATGAACTGTCCACCAATACCAAGCATTGTTCGGTACAGGAACTTCTGCTCTCCATTCTTCCACATAGCCTTGAAGCTGCTCGTCTGGGCCGCCTCGCGCTCCTCATTGATAGCATGCTGAATCTCAGCAATAGCGCGGCTGACAGTCTCATCCTCCTTGGAGATAGACTTGGCATCTCGGCGCACAGCCCAAAGAACCTCGCGTGCCTCGTCGTGGAGATCATGGTTGATGAGCCAGCGAGGGGACTCGGGAAGAAGAGTGATTCCGATGAAGGTCAAGAGGGCGAAGAAGATCTGAAAGGCAAGGGGGAAGCGGAATTGGGCGTCACTGCTGACGTAGGACATGCCGTAGTCAACCCAGTATGAAAGCATGACGCCGAAGATGTTGATTGCGAGTTCAATGGCGAGACCCTTGCCACGGTTACTGGCTTTCATGAGTTCAGAGTGCCAGACAGCTAAAGACTGTTAGTTGAGATCTGTGATGGAGTCAGGGGTAACTTACGGATGGTACTGGTGTTCATACCATTTCCGAGACCAGCTACAATGCGACCAACGATCATCTGAGGGATTCCAAAAGCTGATGCTTGAAGAGCGGCTCCGATGCTGAGAACAACGCAGCCCATCATAATACACTTGCGACGACCAAAGTACTCGCCAAAGATGAGACAGAAGATGGCGCCGAAGAAGCAACCGATCTCGTAGATGGCGACCACCGTTCCTTGAAGAGAGGAACTGCCATTGCCACCATCCGTGGTGTCGATCTCGGGAAAAGTGTTGGTGAATGCAGTACCTGTCAACAGGCCAGACATGACACCCTGATCATAACCGAAGAGGAGGAAGCCAGAACCAGCTGTGGCCGTGATGGCCCAGTCCAAAGGTCTTCCAACAAGGATCGTCATGATGAAGAGTGAGTTGGCAAGAAGTGAAGAGATCGAAAGAAGCTATTCAACAACCAATGCTGATGCTATAAGTCACGCAACAGTAAAAGATGGGGCGACTCCATATCAATATATACTGCTCCGAAGTGACAACTCGGCGACGAGAAAATTAGATCAACTGTTGACTCGCGGGAAACAAGGTTCGTTCCAAGGCCGTGACATGGCGCCAGTTCCCCGTGGGGAGTCCACTGTACCGTAACATTGGATCATCTGGGGGTTTTGCGGGTTAGACGAACGGTTCCGGTTTCGAGAGACGTGAGGCATTTGCAAGCGCTGGAGAGAATATGGGGCATCTAGGCAGCCGAATTCAGGGATGGGGTTTGCGGGCTGCCCTGTTTTTGCGAAAATGTAGATCGTAGCCGATGGAATGATACGATAATTGTGAATTGGGGGTGTCGTTGAAGATGGATGGTTTAGGTAGCGAAAATATCTGTGCATCCAGTTGATGTTGTAGTGGAAGACTTGTGGTTTTCTTACTAAGGCGGGACAACTGCAGTGTGCCTAAGCGTAGGTTCCTTATTAGGGCGTCTTCTTGATGCAGCCACAAATAATAGGTAGTCAATTATTTGTGCAACTAAGAAAGACAAATGCTTCAATGTCAGATGAGACAAGTACATTCACAAAAACTCTGGAAGTTGTTCAATTGATCAACAAAGAATGTCAGAGCAATTGGATCCAATGCTTGTCGAGGTCCGCTTAGACCTACCAAGATCGGCTGCAAGCTGGAGTTCCCCTCCCCATCTCTACTCCTCACTGTAACACCCTAGAATGGGCAACGGAATTTTCTCTAGGGGCGGCACTAATAATTCGCATGCAATTGCCCTACTCTACACCTCGCGCATTGTATACTCTCCAAGGGTGCGTATACTTCCCTTATCTGATTCGTTGCTAGATATAACCAAATGGTTTTTGATGTTTTGCTGACATTATCGCGAAGAGCATCAGAACCATGGTCGAATTAGGAATCTGGGAACGCCATATTGAGAACCATAAGATAAAGATGCTATTCGGCATCAAAGATGATATCCCAGAAAACAAATCTTCGTGCTTGGCCAAGTGCTATCGCTTTGTGTGACATCGGCGCCATCACACACGACAAACACTCCTCGCAATCATGACACTCGGTATGTGCTTGTGGAAGCAAGACAAGCCAGTTGTTGACAAAAAGCTTCAGGAAAGACCTTCATCAATGGCGTCGCCAACTCAGTCGAGCGAAGTCTCAGGAGTTGCATCCTTCACGACCCTTCGTTGAGTCTTATCGCATCAGAAAAGGGTGAGACCATGATCTACAACAGCACACAGGCATAAACTGACGGCTTCTTCAGTACTCTACCGACGAACGGATCATAGTAATGACAAAGTCATTCTCATTTCTGGCGGAGGCTCTGGCCACGAACCCGCACACGCAGGATACATCGGCGAAGGAGCATTAGACGTCGTGGTCGCTGGCGAGATCTTTGCCTCCCCTTCCGCTTCACAGATCCTCACAGGCCTACAGATTGTCAAGTCATCAAAAGGGTACGCCTATGCCCCATAAGAGTCGAGTGTTTGGCTAATCAGTGGTAGATCGTTGATGATCGTCAAGAACTACACGGGCGACAAGCTTAACTTTGGCCTCGCAGCAGAGAAGGCAAAGGCAGAAGGACAGAAGGTTGAGATGGTCATCGTGGGAGATGATGTTTCAGTCGAGGGAAACACGCTTGTTGGTCAGCGTGGTCTTGCTGGGACAGTCTTCTGCCATAAGATCGCTGGCGCAAAGGCAGCTCAGGGGTATGCATATCCATCACACTGACCAAGCCAATGCTTACCTTTTTACACAGAGCCTGCCTCGAGCAAGTCGCCTCTATTACAAGAAAAGCCGCTTCGCAAATGGCCACCGTCGCAGCGAGTCTCGATCGATGTAGCGTTCCCGGGCGGGTGACTCAAGAAGCCCTTCCCCACGACCAACTCGAATTCGGAATGGGAATACACAACGAGCCGGGTGTCAAGCGCGAAGAAATCACGAGCTTGGAGGTTACGGTTGAGAAGGCATTGAGCATGATGTTCACTCCCAAAGCCAGTATGTGGCAGCCAGGCAAGGGGCAGCGGGTAGCTTTGATGGTCAACAACCTGGGCGGCTTAAGCGTCCTAGAGATTGGCGTTGTCGCGGATGAGGTGGTAAAGCAATTGGGTCAAAGAAGCATACATATCGAAAGGAGTCTTGTCGGCACCTTTATTACGTCTCTAGACGGGCCTGGCTTCTCTATCACTCTACTGTCACTCGACGATGAGTTGACGGACTTGCTTGACGCTCCCACTACAGCACCTGCTTGGCCACGTTCGATTCACGGCTGGGTAACTGATAAGATGTCTGTATCGAAGCGCGAGACCATAGTCCCGGTTGCGAAGGCCAATACTAGGGAGACGGGAGTCAAAGGTAAGCCGAAGATGAAGCCATCTACCAACATCGACTGATCATTCGCAGTGCCGACATCACTTGTCAAGGTTCTCATTGAATCAGTAGCGCGAACCACAGCAAGGGATGAACCAAAGATTACAGAATACGATACGCTTGCAGGTGATGGAGACTGTGGAGAGACACTTCTGAACGGAGTCACTGGTATGTCCCCCCGAACATCCGTCAGTTGACAAGCAGCAATGCTGATTTGTCAATGTGCAGGTCTCTTAAAAGAGTTTGAAAACGACGGCGCAGTTTCTCTCGACATTGGCCAAGTTTTCCGCCGAACAGCGACAACCGCAGAAAGGAGCATGGGCGGCACGTCGGGTGCTATCTACGCCATCTTCCTCAACGCTGTAGCGAACCGACTCTTAGAATTGACTGCCAACTCTTCCTCGCTTACAGTCTCTGAGTTCATACAACAAGCTCTTCAAAGCGGCCTAGACGAGTTATGCAGATACACACCCGCGCGAACCGGCCACCGCACACTAATGGACGCACTTATACCGTTTGTCAAGAACTATTCTCTGGATGGTTCCCTGAAGGCCGCTTTAGCAGAGGCACGCAAGGGCGCTGAGAGTACACGGAAGATGGTAGCGGCCCTGGGACGGGCGAGCTACGTTGGACAGGACCGATTTGACGAAGAGGGCGGTATTCCTGACCCTGGAGCTCTTGGTGTTGTAAGCATTCTGGAAGGTCTTTGCGATGGATTGGATACTCGAGCCAATTGAGGTGATTGGCGCAGTCGGCAATTGGATTGAACTGTTTCTTCGCTTACAAGTTCCTGGGGAATATCTTTATCCTGGTGATGATGGTGGTCTAGCCAAGTACAGTCAAGGCAGACCAGGGTGAAGAGCATTGTCCATCCACTAAACAACGTCACGCTGCCTGTCCAGGGCACAAAGGGCAGTTGTAAGCGGAGGTGAACTAATCCCAGTTGAGGAATGCTTCGAGTTGAAGATTTGTTTGTCGGGGAACCAGCAACGACTCGCATTTTTATTCGTTTTAGCATCAATTACCAGGGAATTAATTGATCATACCAGTACTTTAGTTCCCTCTAACAGTTTTCTGGAGCATTTGCCGATCACGAGTCTTTTTTGGTATGGCAGGTCGGAACCCCAGATTTTGGCGTCTACAATTGCCCTGCCTCTCCAACTTTTGGACATCTTGACCCTCGCCTTCACCTTCATCTCCACCCGTTCTCCCAATACCCTAGCCATATCACCCAATTTTCACCTGAGATCCCAACTCCGGCTACAGTTGACTTATGGACCGTCCCTCCGCATCCCGGGCCCGAGTCCGGTCCGAACCCATCAAGCACAAGCGGACCCGCTCCGGATGTCTCAATTGCAGGCGGAAGAAGCGTAAATGCGATGAGAGTCGGCCAGCCTGCGGAACGTGTCGTCGTCGCAATGAGTCTTGCGAATGGGGCCTCAAGATTGCGTTTCGAGCTGAGCATGCTCAATGCTTAAATGCGCGGCATCCTTCGATGCGGAAGATGGCGAGGAGGAGGCAGCCAAGGGAGTTTGAGATTCTGGATGTGACGGATGAAGTCATTCGTGATTACAATGGTGCTGAGACAGAGGAGGAGGATAACGAGACTAGTGAAGATCGTGCACGGACAAGCACTTCTGGTATGAACTCAATCTGCATCATGGGTTGTTTATAGATCTGACATTCTTCTAGGTCGCTCAAATCTCATCGTCGGCGGAAGACCTCGCGCCGCAAACAATACGCCAAGTGGCTATGTCTCTATACAGCGACCACCAGCAATCGATATCTCATCGCCGACATCACAGCGCCAGACCGAAAACGCCGTAGCCGACCTACTTTACTTCAGCCAGAACGGGCAATCTTCTCATTCCTCAGTCGACATTGATCCTGCCCTGCAGGTTTCCATGGAGGCAGTCCCAATCGACATAATAGCAGACTATCCGTACATTGATCAGATGCAAGCATTTACCCCTGAGGGCGTCTCCGAGGATGGTATCTTCTTGCCAGGCTCTGCCTACCACGAGCTACACTCGACACTCCGTAATCACCTCATCCAAGAGACTCGATCAATTGCCCCAACAAGATCAACAACGCCGCATATAGAGGTTGACAGCTCAGGGGGCGTCTCCTTGGAAGAGACCGAGGTCACGATCCCAATACTAGAGTTTCAGCCCTCGCAGACACCTCTACTCTCTCAGCAGGAGGAATGCTCGCTATGGAAGAACTACTTTGACGAAATTGCTCCCTGGCTCGACAAATTCGATCGAGACCGCCATTTCCAGCAGATTATCCCTACAATGAGTAAAGACAATGAACACTTGCGATACTCAATGCTGGCCCTCTCAGCACGACAACTCGAACTTAAGCATACGCTACCGACGAACCGTAGCCTCGCCCTATACCAAGAAGCCATTCATATGCTCCTACCACATTTGCCGACCCGCGGGACAGCTGTTATCGCCACGTGTGTTATCCTTTGTGTGCTGGAGATGTTGAGCTGTTCACCGAAGGCATGGCAGCGACATCTCGATGGCTGTGCGAGCCTCATGGAAGCTGTTGGCATCAATGGATTTGTAGGAGGGACAGAACAAGCCTTGTTCTGGTGCTTTGCGCGTATGGATATCTGCGGAGGCCTCATATCATCTGTCAAGACTCTCATTCCCATCTGCCATTGGGCCTCCAAGACGTTATCGATCGAAAACGATGTTGAGCTCTTTAAGAATGCTTCAACGTTTGAGGACTGGGCTAATTATGCTGTGTACCTCACCGCTCAAGTCCTTGATCTGTTGGCTGCCTCCCCTGCTGATCCAACTCGCGACGAAGCCAAGTTTCGGACTCGATGGCTCAAGTTATGGAAGTATATCTCTGAATGGTACCAAGACCGCCCAGCTCCATTGCATCCCATCATGACAATCCCTTCGAACGAGTCCTCACCCTTTCCAACGATTTTGTACTCGAACCCTGCTGCCATGTCAGGGAATCAAATGCATCACGCAGCATCGATTCTTATGCTACAAAACCAACCGTCGACAGTACGACTAGGTCATGCTTCCAAACCAAGAAGTATCCTTTGGCACGCAAGGCAGGTATGTGGTATAAGTATGTCGAATGAGCATCATGGGGCCTGGACGAATAGTGTGCAACCGCTGTGGATTGCTGGAAGATGCATGAGCCATCCGAGTGAGCATAAAGCGATCTTGGAAATGTTGGATCGGATCGAAAGAGAGAGTGGCTGGAGTACAAAATGGAGAGTCGACGATCTGAAGGAATTCTACAAATGCTCCTTGTCAACTGTATGAAGGATATGATTTATGAAACTCGGAGTTACTAATGGGTCAAAGACAGACTGGGAGGTGTGCAGTTGATATTCTTGGTGATATTTAGCGATTGTAGGTGCATTGAGACTTGGCTTTGATTTCATGGGAGTTTCAAGATAATTCCAAATGAATCTTTTGTACCCTGAAATCTGAGACCCGTCAAGAGTCGACTGTGATATTCGGAAAACGCGTTTGATATTTGCGTTGCTGGGCGGAGGCCTTCTGCTGGGGCTCACGTGCCAAGGGAAAATAGGTGAGACTGTCATAGGTCAAAAATAATCCCACACTTCCATTCTTGAGCACAAGTCAATACTGAGATTCCCCCTCACTAGTCAACGCAACCCTGGAAGCTCAACAAGGCATAACTCTTCCGCATCACATTCATTTGATTCATTTCTCTTCTCTGCCTTCTCATCATCATGTCGTTGTCCAAGCCCAAGCGTGTTCATGATCTCATCGCCCAGAATCCTCGAGTTCGTGTCTGGGTTCATCCGCTCGAGTGGTCCGAGGTTCACCTTGAGCTTCTCAAGACCTCTTTCATTGAAATCGACACTGACGAGACCTCTGAGAATCTTGAAGACGGAACAGCTATGGTGTCTGACTATCGAATCGTCAGACAGTTCGCGCAAACCTCGATGAAGAACAAGAGCCTAAAGATCTTGATCTGTGACAACGGACCTCTGAAGCTCCTCCGGTAAGAATCGAGACCTCAGTGACTCCATGCTTGAGATCCTAACTTTGAGATTCTAGTCCTCGCGGATACTTCTGCTTCGGTAAAGAGAAGCCTCTTGATCTCCAAGGCGCGATCTTCAACCAACGCGGAGCTATCAGCAATGACAGCTACGCTGGGGCATTTGCGTTCATCCAGGGGAACCTGATCAGAAACCTCCGTGAAGGCCTCTTCCCTCTTCCTAATCGTCTTCGTCATGACCCTGCCGCCAAGTGGTTGCAGGAACAGCGAGTCAAGAAGATTGAGCCCCAGGATCAGTGGCGTGACCCCTACATCTTTTGTGTTCTTTTCGGGCTAGCCCAGTCCCAGGCAGAGGATAAAACCTCTCCCGAGTATCCCTTCGCCGAGGATCATGTCTTCAAGGTATGTATACCCCTGCTGCTTACATGACTCGTCTAGGAGGGTTGTTGACACTAGTGTAGACCTGTGCTGCGTTGACTGATGAGAACAACGAGGACTTCATGTATTTTTACACCGCTGAGTTCTCGGTTGCTTTCGTCAGCAAGTTCGAGTATCCCCTTGATCTGAAGAAGCCAAAGGATACCATGTCCTCCGAGCTGTCCATCGGCATGAAGCAGATCCTTTTCCGGCCCTACAAGACCTTCCGGGCTCGTCTCCTCGCGGAGATCTCCTCTGCCCTGTAAGCAGACGGAGGAGCTACCTCTCGGTACGGGTAGGTTCCGAGGCTGAGAACCTAAGCAATATCGGCCGACTGGGATAATCAAAGCTATTTTGATTTTTTTGTCGGGACGACAACTTCAGCTGAGCCGATTAGTAACATCCTACTGATTATGGATGCACGATATGCATGGATATGGCACCATTTTTCTCACTGCTGGGGCCCATATCGAATTTGTTTAGGTAAGTGATGATCCTTCGGGATATCGTCTATAAAGGTATAAGACCATTATCAATCTGACCATGATAGAACTCTAAGTTCAAATAGGTTATTATCGGGGATCCCGATAGACGAAGGAAGCACCGAACTGCCTATTCGGTTGCAATTCATGTTACATGCCGTACGCATTAGTCTTCAAAGACCATGGCGGAACCTGTATACCTAGTTACTTTCCACCAGTCTTTATACAGCTCGTCACTCCAATACGAAACTCTAAATATAATCTATCGGACTACGATGGTGCCGTGGGCGGCTAAGTAGCCTGATTGAAACAAATTGGCCGGGGTCCCTCTTGTGGGGCTGGGATGGCTCCCCGTGGGATACCGAAACATCGGCCGAATTACTGTCTCTTCCTGAAGCACGCTCATCACGATCTAGATGAAACCAGGGTGACTTTTGTTTACTGATGGCGGTTTCATGGACGCGTTGCTCCGATGTTCTCGACCAACTGCCGACTGGGAACCCCTGCTAGTTCCCGTGGGCTTCCCGGGTGGAGATTAGAGGACCTTGAGACTGAATCAGTTGAGGTCGGAAGTTGAATAGGTCAGTGTTTGGTCTCTTGTGATGTTCTGAGTATAAAAGAGTCAGTCTAGTCGTCAAACTGAAGATGTTTTCATAGGTCACTCACCAATCATCTACTACTCCCTTTTCCAACTTCAAAGATCCTCTTCCGTTCTTCTCTTCACCATGAAGTTCACTTCTGTTCTCCTCGCTGGCCCAGCTCTTGTTGCTGGAAGATATCTCAGTGACGAGGTTACCTCTGGCACTTCGACTCACTACGGCGGCAACGTCTCTGGAGGTAACTGTGGCTTTGTATCCTACACGATTCCTTCTGGTATCTATGGCACTGCTTTCTCTGGCCCCAACTGGGACAATGCTGGGGTTTGTGGCAACTGCATCGAAGTCACCGGTCCAACCGGCAAGAAGATCAAGGCCATGGTGAGTACCCATATAGTCTGATGGTTTGTGTGGTGTGGGCTGATGGATCTTGCTCTTAGATCGTCGACAAGTGCAACGAGTGCAACAAGGGCCACTTGGATCTCTTTGAAAATGCCTTTACTGCCGTTGGCGGTACAGACGGCCTTGTTCAGACCAGCTGGAGACTGATTTCTTGCGATATCACTACGCCCTTGGTCCTACGTAACAAAGAAGGTGAGTTGTCAACATGCTCTTCTCCTACCGCACCCCAAGTTCAACAGCTAACGTTATCTCAGGCACCAGCGCTTACTGGTTCAGCATGCAAGTCCGCAATAGCAACCTCCCCGTCAAAAGCCTCGAAGTTAGCACCAACAGCGGAAAGACCTGGACCGGAACGACCCGACGTGACTACAACTTCTTCGAGAACCCCAGCGGTTTCCAGGTTGATACCGTGGATGTTAGAATCACCAGCTCCACCGGCAGCACCATCATCGTCAAGAACGTCGGGGCTAAGCCTAGTACCGAATACCCAGCCAGCGGCAACTTTGCTTAAGATAACGGAGTTTTTTCCCTGTTTCTGCAAGAACAATTATCAACGGAGGGTTGGTGGAACGCTGCTCGGAAGGTGATTTTCTGGTGGAAAGATTGGGGGCCATTCTTGGAAGATTGTACATATTTAGCTTCTTCGTATATATCGCTCTTTTCATCGATGGCATGAGGATCTTGACGATTTCGACTCAGTGAAGCCTTAGAGTAGACCTATTTCCATCTTATGAAAAAGTGCTAATGTAGAGCATGGCCGCTTACATGAGCAGTCCGAGATTATTTCTCACAGTGACCGTAAAGTCGAATCTAAGATATCGATCTTAGGCGCTGCTCTCAACACGATTGGTCGGCTTAATGTTGCTTGGCATTTTGAAATCTGACGTCTGTTTTCCATTTACACAGACCATCCAAACACTTTCACCTCACACCATCTCATCTCAAAAAAACCCGGCATAGACAAGCGATGTCAGCTCTAGGCGTCAGCAAAGTGGCTATTTTATCATGCTGCGGGCGTGTATTTTTAGCGCTTATAAGACACGTATAAATGAGCATATCCTGATTTTTGAAAAATTTGTTCTACTTCTTTGCAAGACGTCTGCGTTTATCGATAGCTAACTCTTCTCTCTTGATTTTCATTAGATTAAGAAACATCGAAGATATCTCAACATGTCCAGCCCAAAGTCAAGCGAGGATGGCATCTTCAACTCTCCCGTGACCCACGACTTCTGCAATATCAAACCCCATCCGATCACCGGCCGCCTCATAGATTCCTACCCAGTCACTCGTACAAAGCCCATGCGCGTCCTATGCCTCGAGCAATCGATAACAGGCACCATGCCCCTCTACGTGGCCCTCAAGCAACTAGGCTACACGCCATACCACATGTCCCGCTCCCTTATCAGCCCCAAACCGAACCTTGATCTCTGGCGTGAAGCTCTCGATGCCAAGTTCTATGGGAAAGGAAAGCCCTGGGGCCGTGAAGAATTTGACAAGATACTCGGGTCGTATGATGCTGTGGCTGACCTGCCGGCCATCTGCTTCGTCGAAGAGCTCGTGGCCGCGTACCCCGATGCCAAGGTTATTGTCACTCAACGCGATGTTGACAGCTGGCTTCGAAGTATGGACTCAACCGGAGGCCGAGTCCTCCGGTGGCCCCTATGGAATACTCTCGCCAGATGGGATTCTGCGCTGGCTGGCCCCTTCTGGGAGTTTTCAAAGAAGGTCATGCCCGCCAACTTCCATACAATGACAGACTTCTCTGACAAGTCGCCAGCTCGTCAAGCCTTCCACGATCACTACAATCTTGTCAAAAGAATCGTTGCAGCCGAAAGGATGCTCGAGTTCAAAGTTCAAGACGGATGGGGTCCGCTGTGCAAGTTCCTGGATAAGGAGGCTCCTGAGGAGGAGTTCCCCAAGCTGAATGATTCGAAACAGTTCGTTTTGGCCCATAGCGTGATGTGGTGGATTGCTTTTGCCAAGATGGTTGGAAAGGCTTCTTTCATGACTGCTGTTTCGGGAGTCATTGCCTCGATATTTGCGATGTGGAGGTTGAAATATGCTGTTAAGATCGCTGGTATGCTTAGGCCGATCGCCGACTTGTCTTGATTTACTAGGTCTTGTAAGTGACGACCACGCTCCCTTGTTTACTTCTGCTAATAATCAACTCGCAGGTTTATAATCAAATAGCTGAATACGGTTTATTAATGTAATTCTATTGCTATGCTGCTAATTTAAGCGCATCTCGCACCACGATTTGCTTTCTGACCTGGCTTAAGCCAACACTACCCCCCAGTGTTTCACCATATCCCGTCTAGTTCCGCTCGGTTCATCTACCGAACGACCCAAACACCTGGAAATCAAGAGTCAAGACGGGCACTATCCCCAGTTCAACTATTCTAGAAACCGTTGCTTGCTATACGAGCCGGGAACCGGCTGCCACGGCCTTCAGGTCCGCGTTGTCATTCCGTGTAGCTTAACCTTATCGAGTAAATTCCAGGCACTCAAGACTTTACGACAATGGACAGTGGGCTTGAGTCCCCTAGCGCCAATGCTACGGAAACCATCTAGTGTTGCGCCAACTGCTACGAGCTGGGAATAGTGTCTCCTTTGTTCGTAGGTCTCGAATGTCTCACATTCCTCATGATGCAGCGGGCTGGACTTGGACCTGAATCTTATAATTCAATTGTCACTATGGGAGCTCGTATAAGTTCCGAAGCTGTCACTTGAGTTCTCTGCCAAGGGCCTTATTCTGCATCATGCTTCACATCCAAAGTCTTTCACCATGAAATTCGTCACAAGCCTTATTCTCCTAGCCGCGGCCTTTGTATCAGCGAAGCCCTCCGGAACAGCAGAGTGTGCAGCGATCTACCAGAGATGTATCGAAACAATAACGGTATGAGAAGCCTTCCTGTTGTTGGTTCGAAGCTAATGTCTTGTTAGCCACAAGAGTGCAAGAAGACTGATCGAGATTGTCTTTGTAAAGCTTGGGATGATGTTTTAACGTATGTCCAAGTTTGAATTCCATCCAACATCACGAAACACCATACTAACGGCAGTCCCTGTAGATGCCTGGTCGCCTGTCCAAATACTCCCCGCTACTGGTTAGCGAAGGAAAACGCCAGGGGTTTTTGTACATAAGATCGATGAATATGCAAGCGTGCATTTCTTGTCTTCGTCAATCTTACTTCTTACCTCTGGTTCAGTTTACGGGACAAGTTGGGCATAATAAGGGTTTCATGGCGCCCTGTTTGCCTATTTACAACAACTTGGGTACATTAATTTATGAACCGAGCCTTGGGTGAAGGGTTGCAAGAACTACCAGGCTGGAGACACCATACACTCGATTCGATCACACGCAATGTTACTGGGGCATGGCCCTCATATTTTCAGCTTGTAAGAGAAGGTCTCACCAAGGAAGTCGATCATGAGATAAACTTTAGGAAGCCTGGTCAATCAGCATATTTTAAATGTACATCATGAGCAGCTTGCAAGCAGTAGCCTTCGATGCTTTCCCAGTTCAGCCCCTGTTCCCACTTGCCAGTCTGTCGTGGACATATACTGCCTACTCAGCAGCTGAAGACTGAAGGGGATTCGACAATGTAATCTCGTCAACAACATACCTGGCGTACATAAGTCTGATTGGGATCTGCACGCTCAATTTATTCTCCTCAGAATTAGTTCGAGTTGTCTTTTGCGGTCACTGACTTTTCGGCACTCTCGTGTCACTCCGTCTTAGGGTAGTTCCAAAGGATCAGGCCGACGAGGAGCGAGTATCTTTTGTCATTTGGCATTTTGGCGATTCGCTGGAACATCAGAGGGCTTCGATCCAACCAACTCCTCGAGCCCACTGTCCGTTTATGCCTGACCCGGTGCTTCGGTCATCCCCTGACCTGTCCCCGGCGTCGTCTCCAGCTTCTGCGTACGACTCTTTCGGGGTAGATATATGACCGCAACAGCAGTTCTGTAAAGCACAGCCAGGCCTTCAACGACACCGCCGACTATTGCACCCGTGTCACTCCTCGATTCGGATCGATTGTCATCAGAGATTTCGGCAGTGGCTTCTGTGGCGCTTCCCGACGATGTGGTGCTTGTCTCTGTTGCAGCTGTTGTGTCGCTGGAAGGTTTCGATGTCTCACTTGTCGATGTCGTTTGTGAAACGGCTCTTGTCAATGCTCGGGCCTTCTGAGTGATGTAATAGGCATCTGCTGCAGCGACGGCACCACCGGCGATGTAGGTGTATTTGTGACCTTCGTCCATGATCAGGTATGTTATACTGTAGTATTCGACCTTCTTGCTATCCATCTGTTAGCTACTTGGCCAAGTGTTGTGAGTTTGTAGTAGCAGGATGTCATTCTGAACTCAGGGTTCTCTGTGTTTCCGCGGCCACCTGATATCTCGTTGCTGGTCACGACACCGTCTAGCGAGAGTACATTTCGAGCCGCTGGCACTCTTACACATGCCCAGGATCCCATTTTGGGTACTGAAGCGACACATGCTGCCAGACTCAGCTGTCGTCATAGCTGCCGGGCCGCCATTTTTGTAACCGTATGCTAGCATTTAAGAAGGCATAGCGCGTCGTCCAAGAGCTTTGGGCGTCTGCCTTGGCTGCAATGTCTCAGTTGCAGTGGGAAGTTTGGCGTAGAGTGCATTGCTGTGGCACATGTATAACTGAAACAATTGGAGAGTCCATATTATTTGCTGCATATTGGGCTGATTTGTCTCACTCGAGAGGGGGGGGGAACAGGAAAATGAACAGCGACAGAGAGGAACTGCAACTGATTTAATTGTTTCCATGTTCTATTTCTGTTTGGCTGTGGGGATAAAATCATGCTGAATTCAATGTACAACTCATCAACCCAGGATAATTGTCAAGGATCGCATGTGTTGGTAGTGTCGTCGAAAGGCCGTGTTTATTTTGGCACCGTTTTGGACGGTTGTTGTCAACCGTTTTGATCGGAATTCGTCGCCATGTTCCTTGCAGCAAATCGTTATCTTAACGCAATGATCATTGGGTGATACCACTTGGCATCTGACTTGGCTCGATAGGGCAAGTTCCATTGTCATTAACCCTTGCAGAGTCTGTGGGTGATCCTTGTCTGCTGCAAGTTGAGTGATTAACCCATCCAAGCTCCAATGATGAGATGACAGGTTCGGTCTAACGTGCCGAATTGAAATGAGATGAAGGAGGAAGTAAAATTTGAGACGAGGAGGATTCGCCTCTGCTTATATCCATCTCCCGCGACAATCGTGCTCTCGAGGGGAGAGAGTTTGCGCTGACTCAAATCAGTCAGCAAATTGACCTCGGAATGTAATCACAGATAGCTCATGATACCACGTCGCAAATAGTTAGAGCATGTCGTATAATATTGACCGAAGCCAATGATGACAAGATCAGGCCCCTGCTAGCTCCCGTGTAAACGAGGTCCCCGAATAATGAGCAGCCCATGGAGTGGAGAGGAGGAGGTGGGCTGACCGCTGACGCTGACAGTGGGCAGCCCCAATGCTTACAGTACCTAGAGATGGTCCTCAGTAACGTGCCCTCGGCCTTCAAACGGCGCTGCCGGGGTGTGTCCTCTAGCGTCTGTTAGCGGGTTCTCGTACTGGGCGAGGCGTTTGTGTCTCAACCCAACCCTTCCCTTCAAGGCGATGGCGCTGTGCCTCGCCCTTCTCTCAGCCGCGCAAGTAAATTAATTATTGTTCTTTTAATCTTCCCCTTCTATTTTATCACTCTCATCTTCATTCCCCTTTATTTTTCTTGTTATGGACTCGAATTGTTGACGAAATGCATCGCAAGGTCTTTGTTCTGAGTGTCCCGCTCATCTGCTTCTTGTTAGTCACAGCGAGCTTGTACCTTGGCCGAGATCATATAACCAGATTATCTGAGGCATACCTACCGCTCCATGCCCCCTCCTCCCTTAAGACCACGTCTACGGAATCAACAGATTTACCTTTGAGTACGACGTCAGATTTGGTTGACTCGCCTGTTATCGAGGAACCTCCTTCATATTCGACGCTCGACACTTACACCACAAGTACAATCGAGGTACATGCTGCACCAACCATCTCCTCCACAACTTCCGCAGCGCCCTCACCAACAACAACAAAATCTGCCATCCCAATTGCAAATGGTGAGTTCCAATCTTCAATTTTCCCTATCAGAGTGACTAACATGTCCCAGGCTCCGTCCTCTCTACTGAGCGCATCACTCCTTACATCCACGCCATCCTCGATCCTACTTCAAAAGAGCGCCCACGGCTTCAATGCCCTCCCTTGGACACCAAGCGATACAAGGACCTTCAGAAGAAGAAGGACACTCGCGGAGACGAGAATGACCAACATCCAATCGACTTCTTCTTTGCCCTTAATTTGCGCAATATCGTAGACCTTCTTCCTCGTCTCATGGGCAGCATTGTCGAGGCCATCCAATTCCTTGGACCTGAACGATGCGCCCTCTCAATCGTCGAAGGCAATTCTCCAGACGGAACTGCTGACGTTCTTGTCGCTTTGCGCCCATTCCTTGAGGAACTTGGAATTACTTACTTTTACAACAACTCTGCGATTAACCCGTCCAAAGGTCCTCGCATTCGCAAGTTGGCCCAGTTGCGAAACTTGGCCTTGGAGCCGCTGTTTAAGAAGAAGGTTCCTGCGGCGGATGACACTACCGTCCTCTTTATCAACGATGTCGCTGCTTGTCCCGATGATCTTCTCGAGCTTGCGTTCCAGCGTCGTAAGCTGAATGCCGATATGACCTGCGCTATGGACTTTACCTACGCTGGTCCTGATCCTACATTCTACGACGTATGGGTAAGTTTGACTCTATTATTGCGACCAAAGTGAGAAACTAACATGCTTCAGGTCGCTAGGACACTCGCAGGAGACACATTCTTCCCCATCCCCGAAGACGGATCATGGGACAATGCCTGGGACTTATTCAGAGGAAACCGAGAAGCACGAATGCGATACGACGCCCATCTTCCTTTCCAAGTCTTTGCCTGCTGGAACGGCGCAACAGCCTTCACAGCCGCTCCGATCCTCAACGGCTTACGATTTCGCGATCCCAAGAAGGACGAATGCTTCCAGGGCGAACCGCAACTATTCTGCAAGGACCTGTGGCATAAGGGCTATCGAAAGATCGCAGTCGTACCCAGCATCAGCCTGGAGTACACAGATGCGAGAGGCCAGGATATCAAGAAGTTGAAGGGCTTTACGAATGAGGTTATACGGCATATGGAGGAGGATAAAGCCCACATTGAGTGGCAGTACGAGCCGCCGGCGAAGGTCAAGTGCATGCCTTCATTTGATCGCCAGACATGGTTACCGTGGGATGAGTCATTGAAACGATAGATGCTTTATGGTTGTTTTCTTTTGTTCTTTTCTGTATTTGGGTTATACCAGCATTGTTAGACGTGGGTGGTGTTGATGGAGTTCATTCACGGCGTTCTATTCTCTGTACCAAAGAATCATAAACATCACGATGAAATCATACTTTTCCGAGCATCAAGACAATGGCTTGAAGGCCGTTTATGGCTAGTTCATGGATGACGATTGTCATGTGCAATATGGTTACATCTAGTCGGAAGTGGCATGTCCACCCTCTCGGTTCAACGTTAACTCCCTGCAAGTCATTGGGTAGTGTTCAGCCCTAGCGACTAATTATAGGTCTTCGTAAAGCCAATGCGAAGCCACATCAAACACGGACATACCCGTTGCGATGGCTGCTTACTAGTCATGAGACATCTGAAAGGCGAAAGCGCCTGACATCAACACTCACTTAGGCCATCGACATCTTAGTCCTTGTGGGTAGCAAGTAAATTACAGCAATATTGTTGACAATATCTAAGCCATCTAACTACTGTCTCATATCGTAATCTATCCGATGCATTCCGAGGTCATTCGAGGGTATGGGCTAACGATAGAGCTCCCCGTGCCAACAAGCAAGATAACATAAAATCCCCCCGTCCAAAAGATTCATTCATTCCCGTACACCATTCCGTGTCGTCATCATTCATATCCCAGTCTCACATTCCCTTTCCCTGAATACGCTCCGCAGCAACACCGTAGGCGGAGAGGGTGTCACCAACCTCGCAAGGATCCTCCCCGAACTCAACCTTCTCAAATCCCTGAGGGCGATCCTTTTCCAAGGCCATCTTGCCCATCTGCGCCTGGCATCGAAAGCTCCCAAATCGATATTCGACCACGGACCGGCCTCCCTTTGAAGCGTCCCCCTGAACGATGAGTTCCGTGACCTCGTCAATCTCAAAGACGAAACGGTCCTTGAAGAACTGTGTGAGGGAGCTGGGGTTCACGAAGGTGCTTTTCCCGGTGATGATGAGAACACGCGACGCAGGTCCCAAAATGCGTTGTTCCCCATACTTGACGCGATTGTGAGTGACTCGCAGAGGAAAGCCGCGAATACTAAGGCCCTGGGTGAGAGACTTTGAGAGGAGGAGCTGAGCAGGGCCAGGAGTGAAGAAGACGACCTTTGCGGCTGCGGTTTCGTGGCGCTCCCCGTCAGGCTCGTTGATGACAGAGCACCAGATGCGTCCGACGTTGCGGATCTGTCCAAGCAGTTCATGATGGGTGACATCAGGTGGGAGATTGGTCAGCCAGAGGGCGCAGTTCTGGTCTGGAGTGAGGCTCAAGGCGCTTGCATTTCGTGTGTTGTGTTCTCCTTTGTAGTTGTCAGAAAAGATAGACTCCCTAGCTTCATCTTCACGGGCAATGTGGCTGGGAGGGCGATTGATAGCCGCCATGGGCCGGAAGCCACGGGGATTTTGTTGACGGGCAGCCAGACTGAACTTTTGACGTTGATCATCTTGGCTCTGGACATATGGGACCTTCTTCAGAGCGTCCTCAAGCCAGGAGGAGAGAAAAGGACGCGGAATCTCCTGAATAGGAGCCAGGGGGGTCTGAGCAGGGGGGGGAATTGTTGGGGGGGCCATGCTTTGGTGCTCGTTGATTGCGAGCTGGCTGAAGTGCCCCTTTAGACCTTCCCAGATGGCTGGAGATGGAGCCAAGGCTCCAGGGAACAGGCTTCTGCTTGAAGTGACATGGTCATGAGGAGGAGCAATAGGCTGGCGGATAGGATAGGCTGGTGTGGCTAGCCCAGCCACATTCGACTTGAAAGACATAGGCTTTTGAGGCATGAAAGCGTAAGCCTCATGGTTGCGCGTATGCATAGAGATTGGTTGGGTTCGGGCCTGAGGAGCTTGATAAATAGGAGTTTCCTCGATGATTGCGTTCAGATTGGTCTGGGGAAGAGGGCCTCGATCCTTACGGAGACTGGGTGATTCCCCAGCAACCTGCGAGAACGTCATGTGGGATTGTTTCTTGAGTTCAGAACCTGTGCTAATAGTGCTAGGTCTTGTAAATGGGCTGCTCAGCTCATTAGGGGGAGGAGTAACATCGAGATCAGGGCTGCTAGAACTCTCCCGAATTGTTGGAGTGGGGGGCGTTTCCATCTTGAAGAGTAGTCCAGATGGAACCGATGGTGAAGATGAGTTGAAGATGAAGAATTATGATATGCTGGATAAGTGTCGATACAGTAGGGTACAGTAGAGGAGAGTCGAGTGAGATGATGAGAATCAAGATTCGAAGGCCAGTAGAAGCGAAGAAGAATTTATAGTCCACCTTATCGGTGAGTTGAGATTGCCTATTGTTGTGATTGAATGGCCCGTGAACAGCAAAATATCGTTGGACAATGGCGGTGGTCGTTTCTATTCATTCATCCCGCCTTCATTGATAGAAGCCGATGTGTGAAGCGGGGTTCGAATAGAAACAATACTGAACGATCAAAGAAAGAAGAATCAGAATACCGAGTTATATTAATGAATTTGCTTCCACAAACTTTACACACCGCTGTGGTTGAGGTACTCGGTTTGTAGCCGTGCCTCGGGTAGCTGCACAGAATACGTAGAAGAGCCCGCTGTCAGACAATGACTTAACTTGCGGTCAAGGGAGGGTTTCTCAATGTATGAAAGAATGTTTTGTAAGAGTAAATTTCGAGTTTGTGTTTTGATGTATGTCTCGAAGATGTGGTTGCTATAGCATGGCAGCCTGGGTACTCTGTCTATGTCACCTGGCAAGCAGCTGTTAGTCATGTGTCGTTTGATATCAGACGATGACGTCTTATTTCACCTTCACTGGCCGTGAGTCAGGCATGGTAAGTGATTAGATTCCCATAGACAAGCGGTGTATGCTTCAGGAGGGAGATGCGGCAACTTGCCGTTGAGTGTTACCCTAGATTTCTGCAACTTCATACCCAAGACCGCATACTCTGATGGGATTCCATGATCTCCGCCTATTATACATCCCTGCCCTGTCGATTCTTCATCCTGAATTCCATGATAGAACTCTGCGTGATCTCTTACACTGTATTCATAGACCCATGATATTCCATGCCTTCTCCGGTGTTTGCCATTGCCTGACCCCCAGTGACTGCCCTGCTCCGGGCGGGTATTGCAACGCCATCCCCGAGACTGCACTGGACCTCCACTGCGTTAGCTGTTGCAAGCAATTCGCTCTGCCTCTTCCAACGTATGTACCTTTGCGGAATCGTGCGCGAGGTTTCACGGCCGTCAGTCCTTTGACCTGGTAATGAAGACCATTACCCAATCGCCCCTGTGGCAAACAGAACAAATAATGTTTTCTATACACTTGTCCACAATTTCCGTGACAGAGAAGAGCGGAATGGATGAGCCACTTGCTGGACATTGGGTCAAGTTCAGCTTCGTTCTTCTTCAAGCGGGATGAGCATCAGCCTTACGAAGGATGGCAAGTGGTCAGGGAGAGCCTTTGGGAAATACCATCGATTTTGAGGTTCGTGGGGGACTTTCCTGCCAAGACAGTGATAGACAGACAGACAGTTAAGACTAAAGCCCCTCTGACTCGTGGTCATGGCACGTATCAGGATGGATGACTACCGTATCATCTTCACCGTTGATCCAAGTTTTCATGCTTCTTTGGCTCGTTCAAACGCCTGGCAGTATATCCAAAATTGACTTGAGATGTCTGGTTGCTCATCCTTCCGTCCATGGCATCCCCCACGACTAGGGGAATCGCTCGGCAACAGGAGAAAGAACTGAAGGACAACTAACGGAGATTCCGAGTGCTGGCCTGGGAATTTAAACCAATTTCCTCGGCCGATTCATGCTCGCCTCGCTCTCATTCAAGGATAAACATTTTGTCGTCTCTTTGTTGGACTAGTGGAGATCGGAACTGTCAGATACGCAAGGCTTCGTTGTGGCCCATGACCTGGAGATTTGCATACCCCCAGGACGCCAGTGCAGTATCTGTGCATTTCTCAGTATATCATTAGCAGTCCCGTGTCAAAAAGGCTGTTGAACTTGAGAAATGCTTTCGCTTTCAGACTGTTCATGGCGAAATATGGCTCGTCGGTTCGTAGCTTGGCAGGCGATGTACTTTTCCAGAAAGGTCTGGCTGGCCAAAGGACTCAACAACTCGATGAGTTCGTGTATACAGACGTGCGAACTTGCGCTGGTCATTATTACCCATGCAATGACGGATTGATCAATGGGCGTGGCGAGTAAGTCCATCAAGGAAAGGTCAATTCTATAACGTGTCTTTCGTGAAGTGTAAGTGCCGAACCGGAGAGCAATTGGGTCGATAATGCGCATCATTTCGAAGAAGACATCAACAGCAAGAAGTAGGAAGTGCTGTTGATCCAATTCTGTCTGGCATTGGGATCTTCATCTTCATCATTACCTACCAACACTTGGAAATGGTAAAGCATTTACATACGGTTTGCAGAACAGCGTGGATGAAACTCATGCATTGGAAGAAGAAAAAAAACACGACTCTCTTTCCTACTGATAAACTACCAATATCGAAAAAGAAAAAAAAGAAATACAACAGCGAGTCGGTCAATTCCTGACTGCTCACAACGGCTTCCTGTCCATGTTCCCCCCTCCCCACTTGTTATGTATGGTGCTAGACACGAAAAAAAGAACTTGCGGTTTATGTGGATCGAACACATGACCTTCAGATATCAATTGATTGAAGTTTGACTTCAGTCTGACGCTCTCCCAACTGAGCTAAACCCGCTTGTTAAATTCTCAAGAATTATTGTAGATGATGACCATCGAGTCGGAGGCATTGCTCCGCGGACGATGGAAGAATTGCCGGGGAGATGGCATCTCAGCCAGTAGCCCAGCATCTGTGGCTACCTACTATGCCGCTCATCACTTTATCTTGTTACCTAAACTTAATTGGTCGCTTAGAAGTGGTGTATACTGAGAGCCAATTCAAGCTCTGCATCCCAGTTGCAGATGACGTTACACAGACAACCATCTACAGCATCGTAACAGCAGATCAGCGAGTGAATGGATTTGGCTACAGTAGCACACGACATGAATCTGAGAACTTTATTCCCCGTATGGAGCGGCAAGTCTCGCTTCACTTCCCGTCCTTGATGATATGATGCTGCCTCATGAAGTGCCTCGTGTTGAGCCTCTTGATCTATTGAATGTGGATGCCTTGTGCGGGAGCTGGGCGAAGTAGGGCTGAAAATTCAGGAGATTTAGACAAAATAACACAGGTATCTTCCGAGGCACAAGCCTGATTGTCGCTGTCAGGTTGGTCATCTTGAGGCCTCTTTTCTTTCAGCTACCTAAGGTACCTACTAACACTTGCTAAGTGGGGGGCCATGTTAGGCAGGGTCCGGGGAGGAGTCAGGACTTACAGGGGCCCCCACAGGGGCCCCCACAGGGGCTGTCGAGCTGTAAGTCCTAGCCTAAGGGACGGGATGGACGTGGACGGCAAACATCACATCACCTCACATAGATCCTGACCATTGAGATCAACGTTTCAAATGATGCACGTAACACAACCAACAATCATGCATAGATAGACTGCAATTTGCTGTGATTTGTCTCCCGTCTTTCAGAGTATTGGCCAGGAAGAGGTGCTATCAAGCTGTAATTGGCGGGTCTTGGATGATGTAGTTCCCCAACAACTAAGACGCCTTTTTGCGGTCCGAGGTGCCTTCACATGGATGGACGTGCCTGTGCATACAGCTGCCGTAGGCAATGGCTGGCAATGGCTGACAATGGCGTCAAGGCCAACGGTGAGGCAGCAATGGCACCAGGCATCAGCAAGTCCTAAGCTATCGGATTGGACCTCTTCCCCGCCAACCCAGTCCTTGCAAGCCAAAAGTAGGCTGTATTTACTGTAATTTGCTCGCACTGGATCTACAGTCTAAGCCCAGGCTTGTTTTATCTTCTCTTTCTCCCCTGCTAGGACCTTTTTGAACTTTGATCAGGCACGCACCTCGTCTACCTTCAAATATGAACCCCCCTCAGCCTCCTGGGCCTCCTCCTGGGCCTCCTCCTAGGGTCTCCGAACACTCCATCAACTCATCATACTTTGCCCCCTACTTCAACGATCTTCACGATCACCGTAAAAGATCTCGGTTCAGAATGCTCGAAAACGTTGGTGAAAACATTTCTGACATGACATGGAAATGGAAGTACAAGCTCCTCCACCGCAAGAAATCTCCTCTCGATGAGCCGCTTGATCTCGAGAAAGAGTACAAGGAGGAGGAGCCCGAGGAGATCAGCAACAAAGATCCCTCGTTTGGTGCCGACACCACCATACAAACCCTATACGAGGGAAAGCACTCGGACCCTACGAGAAACAATTGGGACTGGCAAAACTTCCCACCCAAGCAAGTGTCCAAGGCCATTGCCAGGGCACGAGACCGTGTTGCCATCAAGGTCTACAAGATCAAAGACATTCAGAAGGGCGCTATCTCAAACCGATACCCTCTCAAGTATCACAAAGTCGACATCCAGAACCCTCTTCTTGTCAGCGCAATCGAGCCTATCCTGAAGAAGGAAAATCTCCATCTCGATGTCCACGATAACGCTGTCTTCAAAGAGCCTTTCCGCCCTCTGTGGTTCTGTCAAGATGAGATCCGGGACTTGTATCGCAACACCAAGCAGGACGATCCGCTCAAGGGATATCTGCAACTGCTCCTCAGAGTTCTTGATGAGATCTTCCGCGATCTCAAGATCAAGCGACGCAATTTGCTTGACAAGGATCTCATTGACTTCCGAACAGCCTGGACTCTATTCCCCAGAGACTCTACAGCCTACAGCTACGGAATGAACTCCGAGTTCATTGCAAAGGTAGATGGCACGGAGTATGACACCAATGAGGGTGTTATGCAGCTCGTCCTGACGGCCAAAGTCATGGCTTTCAACGGCGAGGAGTTCATCTGGAGAAAGAAGTCACTTACGATCAACGAGTTCGCTGGAAACAAGCCCATTCGTGAACTTCGTCATTACCCTTTTGAAATGCACCCAGAGAAAGATGCCATCGAACAGCGCTTGGTGTCTCGGGGTCGCAAGGTTCTTGACCTACAAGGCTTGGCTTATTGCTCATACAACGGCATCGCTCTGCACCCGGGAGAATCTGGCGTTGAAAAGCACAACGTGGAGGGCCGTATCCTAGTCGACGTGGTCGGATATAACAAACACCACCTTGCCCAAGGAAAGCGTGAAAATAAGGACCCAGAGATTGAGGTGGTCGATACATCGCGCCGCCGCCGTAAACAGGATCTCGCCGACGCCAAACCTGAGGGCAAACAACCCAAGGCACAGCAGAAGAGGCTCAATGAGGAGGATCAGGCAAAGAACAGGGAAGAGCTTCTTCGGAAGCCCAAAGAGCTTGCATTCATGACCGAGCTCATTGGTGGATATGCATTGAAGAACAAGCTCTGGGGTAAGATCGCTGATACCTGATGTTTTGTGCTTGTGCTAATAACTTATAGTCTATTTCTATGTCGAGGATCTTGAGCCGATTGTCTGGAACGATCAAGCTTACTCCCACCTCGTCTTTGACGAACAGCAAAAGGATCTAGTACTGTCGTTTGTTCAGAATCACAGCCTTGCCAACGGCGCCAAAACGGCTATGGAAGATGTAATTGTCGGCAAGGGTCAAGGTCTCATCATGCTTCTGTCTGGCCCCCCTGGAACAGGAAAGACTCTCATGGCCGAAGCGATTGCGGATCGCACCCATCGTCCTCTCTTCTATTTGCAGGCTGAAGATCTTGGTATTAATGCTGCCGCTCTGGGTGCAAACATCAAGAGAGTGTTTGAGATGGCTACGGAGTGGAACGCTGTCATCCTGCTTGACGAAGCCGACGTCTTCATGGCGGAGCGTAACCCCAATGACATCCATCGCAATGAACTCGTCAGCATCTTTCTTCGCGAGCTCGAGTACTATCGCGGCATCATCTTCCTCACTACCAACCTGTACCATACCATTGATACGGCGTTCCGCAGCCGAGTCAGCTTGCATCTCCTCTTCAAGTCTCTCACCCGTGAGGCTCGCGAGACCGTCTGGCGCAAGTTCCTCAAACGCCTGTCTGACAGTGATCGCATCACAGATGTCACGGACGAATCTCCTGCCACGGGTTCCACCACGCCTAGAAACGCCAGCACAGACGAGGATGCTGGAGGAGAGGTCACCGCAGCCTATGAAGACAAACCGCTTGATGCCGAGGACATTAAAGAGCTGTCACTTTGGCAACTCAATGGACGAGAGATCAAGACAGCTGTCAAGATGGTACGCAGCTGGTGCGATCACAAGGGGTATATCATGACGCTGTCGCGATTGGAGAATGGCATCAAGGTGACAAGCCCCCATTCGAACAAGGACGGCGACGTTGATAAGGATCTTTACGAGTAATTGGGTGTTTTCTGTCTTTTGTTTCCAAGATACCAGTCTGCATGTTGATGGTTCTAGTCTGTTGCGATGTTATACTTTATTGCTTTACAAGTCGATGGAAATAGTGCGATTCTCTAGCACTTGATCTCATCTGAACCACGATAATATAGCATATATGTGAACTTGTTGCTATCCCATGTACTCCATACAAGTGCTTTCGTAATAATCCGGTTCGTTCCTAACCCATGCCTGCTCAACCCGGCCGAATACAGTAATTTACAATATACCTCAAAAACTAGATGTCCGCCCTACCATCCTTTATCGCCGAAATAAAAGTTTTGCATGTGTATATCAGACATTAATTCAGCCCCTTGATCGCAGGCCTCTTCGTACACCAGTTTGTGCTGCTCTGCCCGTCTTGGTCACGCCTGTAGGAGCAGAGCCCTTGGCCTTGGTGGCCGTGGCTTTGGCTGGTCCTCGTCCTCGCTTTGGTGCTGGAGCTTCAGCTGTCTTTGAGCTTGGGAGCTCTCCTTTTCCAGCCTTTCCCTTTACGGGCCGTCCACGAGCCTTGGGCTTCTCTGGTTCGGCTTCAGCCTCGGCTTCGACAGCAGGCTCTGGTGCCTTTTTCGCAGCCGCTCGACCACGGGGCTTGGCAGCAGGCTTCGGCTCCTCAGGTTCAGCGGCCTTGGAACGAGCAGACTTGCCACGCTTGGGTGCGGGCTCTTCCACAACTTCCTTGGCAGCCTTTGCAGGGCGTCCTGCCTTTCGTCCAGTAGATTTGCTTGGTTCCTCGACAATTGGCTCCTCAGCTTTGCGTGTTGTACGTCGCTTCTTGGTCGCAGGCTCAGGAGCTTCAACTTCAGGCTCAGGCTCGGGTGCTGTGCGTTTAGAACGACCACGCTTTGCGGTGGCGGTTTCAGCAGGAACATCTTCAGTGACCTTGGCTGAGGCAGCTGCCCGTCCTCGCTTCTTGGGAGCCAACTCGGGTCCAGATGCAGCATTCTCGGCTAACTTAGTAGCTGTCTTGGCAGCCCCACGCTTCTTTGTAGGCACAGGCTCAACTACGGCCTCTTCGACGGCCTTCGAGGCAGCTGCCCTTCCACGTCGTTTGAGAGCCGGTGCGGGTTCTTCCTCTGGGGCAGAATTACCAACACGGCCACGTCTCTTGGGCGCCGGCTCTTCAGCTGCGGTGTCCTCAGCAGCTGCAGCACGACCTCGCTTTCGCGTCTTGGGCTCTGGAGCAGACTTGTTACCTGCTGGCGCCTCAGCCTTGGAAGCAGGACGACCACGTTTCTTGGGAGCTTCAGCGGGCGCCTCTTCTTTGGGTGCAGGTGCAGTTCGGCGGCCACGCTTTGTTGCGGGTTCTGCTTTCGCAGCTGCAGAGGGAGCAGCAACGGCCTTTCTTGTAGCCCGACCTCGCTTGGCTGGAGAGGGAACTGTGCGTGGCTTGACTGTGCGGGTACTCTTCTTTGTGGCAGGAGCATCATCAGTCGAGTCGGCACCTCGTTTGGTCCGACCAACACGCTTGGGTGCTTCCACTTCTGGCTCGACTTCTTCTTCCTCTTCTGTTGGTTGAGGGGGGTTCTTGGGTGGCCTGCCACGGGGCTTTGGTGTTGTCGTAGGAGTCACTGCGGCACGGAGTCCAATTGCTGTCTTAGGTGTCCGGGCTGCTGTCGTCGCTCTTCGAGGTGTCGTTACAGCCTTGCTAGCGCTGGCAGCGCGACGGCCTCTAGCAGACAAGGGCTTTGATGCGCTGGGAACAGTGATTGGAGTGGCATCCGACTTTCTGGGTCGGCCTCTCTTTGCGGTACTTGGGGGCGCTGCTGGAGTGGCAGCAGCATCACTCTTTCGTGGGCGTCCTCGCTTTTTGGGGGTCTGATCCGCAAGAACACTTGCAGGCATGGACTTACGGGCTCGTTTCTGGGCTGACGAAGGACCGTTCTTAACCGCAGGTGAAGCTGGCGCAGAAGCAATGCTTCGGCGGCCACGAGTGGGTTTTGTAGCAGATCCCGAAGTCTCTTCCACAACCCCTTGTGTGCTTCGTCGGCTCCGCTTTGCGGATGCTGGTGCAGCAGGTTCTTCACCGTGCGATGGTCCATCCTCAGGTGCAGGAGCTTGGGAAGTGAATGTTGCCTTTTCAGGCTCTGACATTGATTTCAGTTCAACAACTAGGGAGGGAGTAGAACCAGCTCTTTCGGTCTGTTGTTCTAATTGCGTTGAGGTAGCTCTTCGATTCTGGGAATCTTCTGGTTGAGGTGTTGCCACGACTGCCGGAGGTGGCGCCGACATACGCTTCATGATACCTCTGCCAACTGAAAGCAAAGCATTTTTAAGAGAACTAGGTCCTGTGGCAGGGGCTGAGGCAATATCTGGTGATTTGGATTGAGTTTGCGCTGGGGTTTGCTGGCCACTGGTGGCCTTAATGTCATCGGCCGCTTGCTCAATGGGTGTCTGGGTGGGTGTTTCCTCAACACAATCGGCTTCACCATTTTGAACAACATTATCAGGTTCTTGCTGAGAAATCAATTCTTCAGGCTCTTTTTCTGAGGACTGGACAATGGTCTCCGTATGCTCATAAATCTCAACGCGTGACTCCTCTACGACGGGGTCGGCGCCTGCCTCCGTGATCACTTCCTCAGTGATATTTGACTGAATAATCGAGTTCTCTTGTGTACCTGCAGCGGACTCGTGCAGCAGCGAGAATGGGGCGCGTTCGGGTGAAGTAATATGAAGCGTATCAGTGCGTTCTTCAACGATAGCGGATTCTTGTGGCGTATCATCTTCAGGGGATTCAGAATAACGCGAAGGTTGCTCAGGGAGAGCAGAGACATCGGGGGACTCGAGGCCGTCACTATTGAAGGTCGCATCGCGTTGCCAGGGCCAGCTAGGAGGAGGACCAGGGCTTAAAGCATTCGAGGGAGCACCTTCAGGAGCCGGGTTCCGGGGCATGAAAAGAGGGTTGAACAATGGGGAAGCCTCTGGGCGATAGGATTCCGCAAAAGAGGCATCATCAGCCTCGGGCATGGTGTTGGGCACACCTGGCGACGAAGAAGCGACAGTTACGCGCTGGCCAAATCCAAGCCAGTTTGAGGAACCAGAGCCGGAGCCGGAGGGGGCGTCCTGGTCAAAGTTGTAATCCATTGCTAAAGGTGAAGCTGTAGATGGTTCATTGATAAGAGATTGGCTTGTCGAGAAGAGAAGGAAAACTGAGATTGAATTTTGTTTTTGTTGTTTACTCGATTTGCATGATGATGTATGATCCAAGCCAAAGCTCGTGTTGCGACGCGTCTCACGAGCGCGATTACCGTAGAGTGCTTCTCCACTTTTCGATGAGGGATGACATAATGTATCTTCCCTGTCCGTTCGCGCGAGCACTTGTAGTTGATCTGATCTAGGCGCTTGGCATTTGGGCTTGGCGTTGATATCCAATCTTTAACCTTGCTTCACCATCTCAACCTCGATTCGAATGTTGATGTTTCAGTATTGAGATTTGTTTTCGAGGTTCAAGACATGGACATGGATGACAGAAGCAACATGACTCAGGTATGGATAACCACACAGCCTCGCATTCATGTCGACGGCCTGTGCACTCCATTGGGACAGTTACTCACTAACGATCCCCAAATGTGTTGATGCACGAAGCTGACAGAAAATACGATGCGTTCAATTAAACAACAGCGCTAGAGATACCTCCCTACAACTGTATCCGCTATAAAGTTATCTCTTTACCCCCCGAAGGTTTGGGCATGTGATGCAGACCCAGCTAATCCTGCACTGCCACCGCCCAAAGCCCAATCAGGGATTCATCAAACAAAGCACCCAACTGCTCTCACTGAAACGGCCTGCAAGTGACGTTATATCAGCCAAATCAGGTATCGCGAGGCCTCCTCTATGATACCCTCAGGGTCCCTTACCGCCATTCCCCTGCAAGAGCTGCGGTTCCTATCGGCCGTGCTCGATGACTACCGGATGCTACCCCGGGCAGAGAGGTTCTTCCTTAACAATACCGTGACAATGTCTCGTTTATTGCCAGCAAATTGTGGTGGCCACATACAGCCACTGCGTTAGCCCGCCGGGTTCTATTGTCAATGCACCACTTCCGCTATTGCAGATGCCTTCACAGCTGTCATCCCGGCTCCTCGGCTTGGCAATAATTCGCTCAAACACTGCCTGCTCGCACTCTCTTCTTGCTCAAACGAGTTGGTCTGCAACCTGCTCACTCACTTTCCTCGGAAAACGGCACAGAACATCCAGACCTTACGCCCGTTCAAGTTGCAAACAGCCCTGAAACACCTTCTCACTGGGGCATCGTCTTCAGCGTATTAACGCCAGACAGACGAACATGTGGCGCCCAAATCTCAATTTTGTCAAAATACACTGTGAGTGCAGTTCTAGTGACAAGGTGCTGAAAGGATGCGGCTGACAACGCTACTTGGCGGCACGTAGACATCTACATCATCTGCATGGGTCTGTCCAGCTTCGTGTTCATCTATCCCGAAGGCAAGCTGAGTGCAATCGATGCCTATTTCTTTGGCGTTAGCGCCTCGACCGTTACCGGTTTGACTACGTGAGCCACTTTCTACAACACTTGGTGCGCTTCAACGGTGCTAACCGTTTTCATTACAGAGTCGACGTTCCTGTACTGAAGACATACCAGCAGCTGTTTCTATACTTCGTGCCACTCGTATGTAATCTTGTGACAATCAATATTATAGTCGTGGTCGTTCGTCTCATCTGGTTCCGAAGATACCTCAAGAATGCTGGTCAGTTCGTTCTCGCCTGTACTCGGCGGTCACTGCTGACGTTTCGCCATATAGCTCCTGCTCTGCTCAGCAGACGCAGACCAGTGGATCTAGATCCTAAGGAGGATCCCGAGAACGCAGTTGATAATCCTCTTTCGGAAGTACTTGAAAAAAGGCCGGGACTTGCACGATCTGTGACAGAACGCGTCCATAAGAATGTCGCAGAGCAGGATGCACTCCCGCCAATCGAGGCTCGGAGTCGGACTGATCCAGCTCCTGATCATCCACCCCAACGACCGGTAGACATTCTTTCACCCACAATTAAGGAAGAGAATGTGAAGGAGGGAGACCAGCACGAACCAAGAATCACTTTCGATCCTTCAACCGATCACCATCCTCGTCATGGGCAGCAGGAGTCAACTCTGTATATCCCCGGCCCTCGCGCTCGAGACCAAGGTTCGCCACTGTTCGCTCCCTTTCTTGTACCTACTGACATATTCAGGCCTTCCTTTTGTCGAGCTAAATACTGAGCGACGGTTCAGCCGAGATACTCGAGATGGTACGATCGATCCCTGTCTGTTGCTGCATATGTTGCATGTGACGTGAGCTAAACCCTCCTTCTAGAAGATTTCATCGAACCTATTTCGCGAACTCAGTCCACGCCTGTTGGCACCCTTCGCCGTAGACGTAGCGTTGGCCTTAGTCTTGCTCAAGTCCGCTCCGTCGAGCGCGTTGCTACCGTAGCTTCGTCCCTCTTTGTTATTGGCAATCCTGCTCAGCCGCCTAAGGAGCGTCCGCTGGCCAGGGCACCAACACTTGCTGTGGGTGACTTTCCCCGCCTGTCTCGAGAGGTTACCATAGGGCGTAACTCTATCTTCCACAACTTGTCGTCTAAGGACCGGGAGGAATTGGGTGGTATCGAGTACAAAAGCCTGAAGCTTCTTCTCAAGATAATTATTGGTAAGTCTTCGGGCGTTTGGGTAGGGACAACCTGCTGATGTCTATAGGCTACTATGTTTTTCTTCACTGCCTCGGGGCTGTCTGCTTGATAGCATGGGTTCAGAATGCTCCTAAGAAGTACGTTGAGTACATTGACAAGTGCGGGCAAAATCGAATCTGGTGGTGAGTTTCCTCTTAGGTTATGGCTTCTATCCTTCTCACCTTTGATCCAGGGCAATATACTCTGCTCAAACCATGATCACCAACTTGGGGTTCACCTTGACTCCCGATTCAATGATATCTTTCAATGACGCTCCAGCTCCCCTTCTCATCATGAGCGCCCTCGCCCTTGCTGGTCACACCTTTTACCCTGTCCTCCTCCGGCTTGTCATTTGGGCTACTTCCAAGGTCGTCTCGAAAAAGTCATCCCTTCAAGAACCGCTACACTTTCTTCTCAATCACCCGCGGCGATGTTATACCCTACTTTTCCCCAGTGGACCAACCTGGGCGCTTTTTGGCATTCTCGCCCTCCTCAATCTCGTTGATGTTCTATTCATCATACTCCTAGACTTGGACAACTCAACTGTGACGGTACTTCCCGGGTGGCAGAGGTTCTGCGCCGCTGTGTTTCAGGCTGTTAGTTCTCGACACACTGGTACAGCCAGTTTTAACCTTGCCAATGTTAACCCAGCTGTGCAAATGGCTTTGCTCATCATGATGTACATTTCCGTGTACCCTATATCAATCGCCGTTCGTTCTTCAAACACCTACGAGGAGCGCTCTTTGGGCATTTACGAGCATAGTCTACAGTATGATGAGGAAGATGGTGGCTCATATTTTGTAACCCATGTCCGGAACCAGCTGAGTTTTGACTTGTGGTATATCTGTCTTGGGCTTTTGTGTATCTCTATTGCTGAGCACAAGAAGATCATGGACGGCAATGATCCAGTGAGTATGGCCTCACAAAGCATTAGATACGAAGCTCACCAGAACAGGCATTTACAATGTGGCCGATGTTGTTTGAGGGCGTTTCAGCATAGTAAGGATGACCCCCTTCAACACCATCGTCAGATCTAATCGTGACATAGCTGTAATGTCGGCTTGAGTTTAGGATATCCTACCATCAATTCGTCTTTTTGCACCGAGTTTACGACATTTAGTAAACTCATCATCTGCGCCATGATGATTCGTGGGCGCCATCGTGGACTTCCCTATGCCTTGGACCGAGCCATTGTCTTGCCAACAGAGAAGGCATTGGGTGCTGAGACCATCACCCATTCTCACGAGTCGCATGAATCTCACGAACATCGCGAGTGAACTAGACGACATAGAGTTTCTTCTTAATCATACAGGATACCGGTCAGATCAGATCACGGCCTTTCCTTTTCTTCCTTTTTCTCTTCTTCTTTTTTATCGTACATTTTGTCTTTCATTGATAGCATAGCGACGTCAGAGTTACGCTTAGAGGCGTTCGAACGGTGGGTAGATTGGGACATCTGCAAGACTTTGAACGGAACATTAGATGCATCTTCGCTGTCCTGAGCCGTGGCTCAAGAACTCTCTTTCTACAACAGAGTGGACGTCTTGTCCCCCAGACTTTCTATTATACATAAACAGACCCGGCGCTCCGGATCATCAGCATTTCGGGATACAAGACAGGATAGAAAGACACACCAGCATCTTCAAATAGAGTGTTTCCTTTTTACCTTTCTCATTCTGCGTGTGTTCTGCGACTCTTTGGTCGACATGGCAGTGAATTTCGAAATAAATTAGCCAATTCTCTGCCGAGTTGCGGTCCCTTGATGAACAGAGTGCAAAGTTTGATCCAATTCGCCTTCAGTCGTTAAAAACCAATATGCAGAACCTTGTTGTGAAGCTTTGCCCCCAAAGCTTTTGCCTTCAGGCTCCAAGCGAGTATAAAATCTCGTGTCTCTGTCTTCATTACGAACAATCACCTCTCGGCACATAAATTTCCTTTACGATTGCGCTCGAAGCCCAATCTCATCTACACCATCCCTTGCAACGGATTTCGGCCACTCTACTGTCGAACCTCTCCAATCTTCGTATAAACCTATACACAACCGATCATGAGTCTCTGTCTCTTCCCCTTCGGTGGGCTTGTTGGCTGCGTCAAGACATTCCTTGGCGCCTCAACTGCGGTGTACGTATGACCCCCAGACGTGGTATCCAAAAGCTAACAATATTCTGCAGGTCATGCTGTATTCTCACATTAGGCAGCGGTCTTCAGATGGCTTTCAATGACGGGGCAGAGGATTCGGGGCTCTGGGATGAGAAGTCTCAATATGGCATACTTTGGTCGTATGATGATGAGCCTGAGGTTTAAATCATGCAACATGGATCTCTCCCATCGCCGGCTTTTTCTACTGTGCTCAATTGCGCTTTCGACATTTCGTTTTTTATTTTTTAAGTCTGTCATTGAAACGAGTTGTACAAGTTCAAGGAGTTCAGTGGATGGAGAAGACGGGCCAACCTGGGTCTCAGACCAAACTTTAGACAAGTCTGTATGTAAGATGAGCTTGCGGCTCGAGTGTTGGAATAGACGACTTGCGGTTTCTCATGGAATGTTGTTGCTTTATCGGCTTTACTTCCTTAAAAAAAGACTCGCATCAGAATGTCTCAGTAGCTACATTGTTAATAGCCATCACACTTCTACACCAATGATGCATGAGCGCTCAGTGGTGCAACGAGACTTCATGAAATGTTCAATTTTTATCTCAGCCAAGCACAGATTTTCGGCGCAGTATAGATAGGCATGTGTTTCTTTTTTTATTGTAGGCTTGCGGAAGGTATTATGTGACAATCAACAGGCACCATGGCTCTGCTCTTGGTCGGGCCTAACAAATACGTGCCATGGCCTTTTGTTGAAGCACGTAGATTAAATCAGAAGGAAATTTTGGGCTACAAGGAGACAAAGAGACGAAGCATTGGTTGGCTTGTAGTGATTGAAGAATGTTTCATGGCTGGAGATGGACGAGGTATTTGACCCCTGAGTTTCTTCCACCTGTCCTCCACTCCATTGGCTCAAGCTTCGTGATACCACATAATACCCGTACATGAGCTAAAGGCACAAAGTAAAGCGTGGAAGGCTCTAACTCGCCCATTCCCGGATCTGATTCTTCCTTGACTCGAAAGTGGAAGTAACTTGGCACCAACGGTAGGTAGGCACCTCCTACCAGATGTTATTGCCTTGCATTGGCACCATATTCGTATTATAACGGAAGGGGGTTTCGTCATAAGCGCATTATAAAGCATGTGCCAAACCGAATCCTCAATTTTGTGCGGGTTTTCATTAGTTAGGCCCTTTATCCTTTCTTTTGCTTTCAATCATTCCGTATCTATCTTGGTTAGGTAGTCCAATATCTGATGCTTTCAAATGCTTCGAAGCTCAGGGGCTGCTCTTCAGGGGCCTCAGTCACAACTCCCCAATGGTTTCTAGGCATTAGAGGAGGCAGAATGCTCAACTCCTTCCAAACTCATCGTCGCAACTGACGTAACTCGTCGCTGACCCCTTCCTTCGTTGTCATCCTGGGAGTCAAACGACTTCGAGTCGGACACCCAGGTAAACAACTTGGACCTCTACACACATCTCTCAATCCATTCAATCATTTACAACCCGCCCATTTCCATCGGCGTGTCAACGTTATTCAGTATACCACCTTCTCAGCATCACATCATCACCCTCCCTATTCAACATGAAGCTCATAAACATTATTCCCGTCCACCTGTTCCTGCACTGCACATACGCTACCGTTCTGCCCAAAGATGACAATCCTTGCTGTCCCGGAGTCGTTGATTCCAAGCCCCCCCGTGATGTCCCCGATAATGGCATCGAATGGACTCGGTGCAATCTGGGTATCCCTGATTACAAGGAAAATGAAAAGAACAAGGCATTCGAGTGCGGTACTCTAGATGTTCCTCTCGACTATACCGACAAATTTGACACAAACACTACGACATTGAAGTTGATCAAACTGAAAGCGAGCAAGAAATCGCCCAAAGGCAGCATCATCGTGAACTTTGGTGGTCCAGGTGGCTCCGGAGTCGAGTTTTTGTTGGCGGCCTTCAACACAGACCTTGCCAACTCGCTTTTTGGAGGGCAATACGACATCATCAGTTTTGATCCACGGTGGGTAACATCTCGGCTACTTCAAGTCAGGTAAAGTCAAGTCTAACCTCGAATTAGTGGCACTGGCAATACGTTGGTTCCGCCTGATGGCAATGGATTTCCGGAGCAAATGAACGAAGAGCTCGTCGACACCGTTCAGAAATCGACATACTTCATCGACTTGGTCACTTATCTGTTTCAAAATTCGGCATACTTCATCGACGTCGACGACTTGATCAACGATCACTTTGTCCGCTACGCTTTTGACTATGTGAGCGCTTTTACGGAGTCATATGTTACAAGGGACAAGGAATATAGAGAGTTCCGTGGCACTGCATTCGTCGCCAGGGATATCGCGAAAATTGCCACGGCATTAGGTGAAGGTGACCGCATCAACTACTGGGGTATTTCGTACGGCACGGTCCTAGGCCAGGTTCTGGCTGGTATGTTTCCTGACCGTATTGAACACATGCTTCTCGAGGGCAATCTGCTCGCCGACGACTATGTTAAGAACCTTGGGCTCAATGGTATCAGGGAGGCCGAGGAGGCATTGTATCATTTCTACGACGAGTGCATGGCAGCCGCAAACAATTCCTGTCACTCGGCTAAAAAGCTTCCTGAAGATCGAGATGGTTTCCTGAAAGTCCTCAATCGCGTCTTCATGGTCTGCACAGGAGTTGGGGGTAGTTTCGAGAGCCCTAAATCACTCTCGCTGGCTAACAAATTTCTCATTGCTCTCTACGATCTTGATGGTTACCTTTGGCTGGATGACTTGATTGATACCGCTTTGGAGGGCAATCGTTCGATGTGCCCCGGGGTTATTCCTGACTTGACAGACTTGGCAACTCCATGGAACCCTCAATCCGACCTTGCCCATCTAGCGATCATGTGCAGTGACGCAACGGTCCACACTGAAACTAGTGAGGATTTTATCAGTTCTTTCTGGAACGAAGTCGATCAGGCCCTTGATAACCCCTTCTACCTCTCGACTCTGCTTGGTCATGCGCCGTGTTTTCGATGGAACATACACGCAGCTGAGGTGATAAACCTTACAAGCCTTTCAAAAGTCGAGACAAAGAACCCAGTCCTTCTCATCAATGGTAAATACGATCCGGTGACTCCCTTGGATGATGCCCGGAAGATATCTGCCCGATTTCCTCGAAGCCGGGTTGTTGTTCACGAAGGTGTTGGTGTTAGTATAATACCTTGTCTTGAATTGATGGCGATGCTAACAGAAACTCATAGCATGGCGCCCTCAACGGTCATGATTCCAATTGCACTCGAGGGATTGTACACGATTATTTTGTCTATGGAAAGCTACCTCAAAAAGAGACCACCTGCAAGCCGGACCAAGATGCCTTTGAGCTTGTCGAAGCAATGCGGCAGGCGGGAAGTGATGGACCCGCTGGAAAACGTAAAGTTCCGGTTCTCTTGTGGGTAGTGCTCGGTTTCTTGGGTCTTGTCTGCGTGTCTTTGGGTTTTTTGTTGTGTAATTCGAGATGAAACAAAGCTTCTGGGTTGACATAAATTAGTAGAACAGTATTAAAAGTATATGACTATTCCTTCTTACAGGTCTGCTAATTGAGCATTTCTGCGAAAAGAAAAGCTGTCTATGGCAGATCAACTGGGATGTCTGATGATGACCTATACCTGGGTTACCAGTATCAACAAGAAGCGATGGAGAGTAAGGATCACATCTCAGCTGTTGTAGGGTAGGCAGGAGTAGCTTGACTTAGCCAGATTCTAGAAGGATTAAACTTTGCAAAATGCGAATTAAATGGAGTCCCAAACCCACTCCCTCAACCACGCCATAGATCAAAAGAGCAATCACATCCGCAACCATGAAGAATATTGCCGGTATCCGTATCTGACTGTCCGAAGCCCCCCAGTCAATCTCAGATTGCACCATTGGCTGAAGCGATGGCGTCGATAAGACATTTCTCGCCTGGCCTCGCCTCGCCGCGCAAAGGAAGGGAAGCAAAACCGAGGCACGTCTTTTCTATGTGATGAAAAGATCGAGTAAGTTTAGTATGTCTTTGCAAGCTCGTAGACAGGTTTATTTTGGCACCCTGGTCTAATATTACGAGTTTTCTTGCTCACTGAGCTCCTAAAGAGAAGACTTCTCTCCGCCAAGACCACGATCAGCCCTTATCAAATACCTTCATCACCAACTAGTTCGGGAGGCGTCAAGATGAGCGCCGACATTCTTGCTGCTGGTGGAAAGGCAAGCCCGTCAATGGGCGTGGAGACGAGGAACGACAACAATGGCGATCTTGTAACGGCCACCGAGGAGCAGAGCCTTCAGCGAGGTCTGCACGAGAGGCATCTTTCTATGCTGGGTATTGCTGGTGCTATTGGAACAGGTCTCTTTCTCGGTCTGGGCCAGTCTGTTCAGACTGGTGGTCCTCTCGGCGCGCTGCTCGGCTATGCGACTGTTGGTCTCGTGGTGTGCGCCGTGCAATTCGCCTTGGGAGAAGTCGCTGCGTTGTTACCGGTGACAGGAGCTTTTGTGCGACATGCTGAATTTCTTGTTGATCCGGCTTGGGGATTCGCAATTGGATGGAATTTGGTCTACGGCAACATTCTGTCGATCCCTTCAGAAATCACGGCCATCTGTGTATTGTTCGAGTTCTGGACCGATATCAATCCCTCACTATGGATCATGATATTCATCGTCCTCACTACAGTCGTCGGTCTCTGCTTCGTCCGGGTTTTCGGTGAGGTTGAGTTCTGGTTCGCCCTTCTCAAAATACTCTTGGTCGTGTTCCTCATTATCCTAGGATTGGTCATCAACTTGGGAGGCGTCCCAGGCACAGAACGAATTGGCTTCAGATATTGGAAGAATCCAGGACCATTTGTTGAATATATTGCTTCAGGGAGCTGGGGCCAGTTCCTTGGTTACTGGTCTGTCATGACCAGCGCTGTCTTCTCCTTCGCGGGAGTCGAATCTATCGCCATGGCCGCAGCCGAAACGCGGAATCCTGCGCGTGCGATCCCCAAGGCTTGCAAGAACGTTTTCATCCGAATTCTGGTCTTTTATATATTGGCCATCCTCATTGTCGGTATGCTTGTGAGAAGCGACGACGAGAGACTCAACGACCAGTCCGGAGCCGCAGGCCAAAGCCCCTTTGTTATCGCAGCCTCGGCGGCCGGCATCCCTGCGATCCCCTCTGTTGTAAACGCCGTTGTCATAACTTCCGCGTGGTCAGCTTCTAATCAGAGTCTTCTCGCCGGTACCCGTGTTCTCTATGGTTTGGCCCTCAAGCGACAGGCGCCTCGGATCTTCCTCCGCACGACCGCGTGGGGTGTGCCTTACGTCTGCGTGCTCTTCTTCACTTGCTTCATGTTCCTCAGCTTCATGAGTCTCTCAAACGGAGCCATGACCGTTTTCTGGTGGCTGGTCGACCTGACAGCGGCGGGAGTCCTGATCTCCTGGGCATCGATCTTGTTGAACCACATTCGTCTGCGCCTTGCGATGAAAAAGCAAGGAATTCCGATCGAAAAACTGCCCTGGCACAACTCCTGGACTTGTAAGTGAAGCCTAAAGTTGTAAAGGTTTAGCTAACATCAGTAGTCTACTCTTCGTGTGCCGGCTTGTTCATGACTTTGATCATCCTCCTAACGGGCGGTTTCCGTGTCTTTACCAGGGGTAACTGGGATCCCGTTGGCTTTGTATCGTCCTACTTGTAAGTGCTCCTAATACTAGCGACCAAATCCGTGTACTAATGGTGTCGCAGGGATATTCCTCTTGTTACCGCAGCGTACTTGATTTGGAAGTTTGTCAAGAAGACAAAGGTCGTGCCATTAGCAGAGATACCCCTTCAGGATGCTTTCAGGAAGTCAGAGGAGGACCACGAAGTGGTGACCGCTTAGGTATAGGTGCCTCAGGGGGCAAGAAAACTTGTGGCATTAGACTGAAGTGCCAGAAGTACCTGATCTAGGTTCTGCTAAATCTATACTAAATTGTATACGTTATACTAACTTGTCTAAGTCTTTTTGTGACTAGGGATAGAAGTTCTAGATTTTCTTTCCTGACACTGAAGGGGTAATATTAGCGTATCATCTTGTATCATCAAGCGTTGAAGATAGTAATTGGCATCTGATTGCCATTCGACAAGGCTCTTGGAGGTTCCAGAACGTGGCTCTCGACACCCTTGCCCAGCTGGTACCAGTTCGATCTCGACGCTCATGATGCGCTTACCTTCACTTCCCCATCTCCGTTCATGACTATGTGCTTATTGTCGCTGCTGACTTCCGCATGGTGGCCATGGAGACGAGTTCGTGTCAAGTGTACGGTCTATGAAAAGGGGGTACCAGGTAGCACTAGGGACGCTCTTCTTATTTTGTAGACTATTCTCGGGTATATTTCAATAGTCACAGCTATCCAAGTCGGTCTCTGTTCCTGCTTAAAATGCCTCTCCTCGCTGAAATGCAGGTATCGTTCATGCTGTCTCTCCCTGGGTCGAGCTCTTCATTGAGGTGCAGCCGGGAAACTCTTCTCGATCACGATTTACATCTCGTTCCTCGAATAAATTTAGGCTTACACTATTATTCAAGTTCATTCTTAGACTATTGCCGAAGCCCAGGCGCATTATGGGGATAGATTGTGCGTAATGCTCAAGTTGCAACCCTCCTCCCCGCAAGCTCTCATGACACTCGTTGATAACAACACGATCAAAGACTAAAAGGTCTATATTATATGACTTTATACTGTTTCAAGAGCCACAGTTTTACTTGAGAGTCTTTTCTTGCTTCTTGGGTGGCTACGAATGACTGTGTACGCTCCTGGGCAAAGTGTCTCAGACCCTCGTGGACGTGTAACACTCTGACATTGCTTCGGGAGATGATTTGAGTCTGCATGACAACCGCAGTCTCTATCTTCTCGAGTACTAGAGCCTTCGAGATGATCTATATTCTAGGCGTACAGAGTTAGCCAAGTCTTATCGGGGAGTTATGTGGTTGTCGCCTCATTCAGCTCAGCATATACAATGGAGGGCTCTCCAGCAGTAGAACTTCTGACCTTACGCCCAAGTACCAATAATAGCTATTACAAAGCTATATTAAAGTCCCCAAATTCTTCCCGGGACTTAGAATGACCATCCTAAGTTGTCTAGCCCTCCCTCAGGGGGATACAGGATCTGAATGCTCCAAAAAGACACTTCAAACTACACACAATTACGAGTTGGTGTACATGGCAATGATTGAGGCTATGCAAATCTCGTGTTCATGTCGTACGACGGGTTCTTCCATGCGCTGAATGTCTGGGAATAGCCTCACACCTCTCCAACGCCTCAGTGCATACTCCTTCAGGAAGCCAAGATTCACTCGGCCAAATGAACGAAGATAGACTCGACGAAACGTATGATCTGGTCATTGTGTCTGTCAACACAAAGAGAACGGCATTTCCCAGACCGGGCTGTCGGAACGCTCGAAGAATGTCACTCGGAAGCATACTTCCCTCCCAACCGCAGACGCCTCTCATCAACCTCCTTTGCACTGTTCTCCCCGCGATATTCTTAGAACGGGCTGATTTCCAATGGTATCGACCTCCAGTTTAACTTGCCATTCCCCAGCTATTCCCGCGCCCCGGAAAGTCAACTCAAGCGCCACTGACGAACATCCCCTCCCCGGCAACCACTCCAACGACAAAACACCAAATTAAGGGGATATTCTAACTTGGTTTCACTTGTCACGAGAGTTCAGTGGCTCACGTCGAAACCCTCCAGCCGCTGTCTTCAATGCTGAAGGGTTACAACGCGCAGAGCCAACACGAACCGTCGAACTCTACCAAGAATATCGCGTGAAACACGACTAACATGGTTCGAACGCCCCATGTAACAATGACACGATACGGCTCACATGTACAACCTTCAGCCACAGGTTTTGTTGTGACTTTTCTTTTCAGCTTTTGCAAATCCCCAACCATAGCCGCCAACAAGGTTAACTTATTAATTAGAGGGTCATGACGATCAATGGCTTGACTCGCGGGCTATGGGGAAACGTGACACGTTCCCCCTCACCTTGGAAACTATCGAGCGATGATAGAGTTTCGGTCCGTAAGCCCAAGTTTACTACACTGTTTCTGGTTTGACAACATCTGTGCGATGAGGCCGAGAACAAGATCCGCAGGTGGGTTGGCTTATGTACATGACATGAGTCGTACAGCGTGGATGAGGAAATTACTGTATGATGATCGTGGGTTGGGCTGCGGCAAAGGCTTAATGTTATCCTGCAGGCCAAGGGAGGGAGGCTGGATCGTGAAGGATGCAATGGTCGGCGCCATCCGGGGGAGGAGATTGTGGCCGCAGGATCTACGATTATAGCTCGGACCGAGTTGAGGAGGAAAGTCAAAGTTGATATTCTACTCTGTAGATGTTGGCGTTTACGAGGGGCTTCGTTGGCTTGTGTCTCTGTGTCACTATAGTTGAGTATGTATCTAGTGCACAGATTCTCATATCATGCAGTTGTGAAGGTTACCGGATCTGATCGATCATTCACCACTTGAGCTGCTTACCAACTTTGGAGATATCATGAGAGTTTGATATCATTCTCTGGCCCGGGGGTTGGCTCGGGTTGATTGACGGCAGTCCCTCATCATCACCAACCACTGGCAGCCAGCCAACCAACAAACAACTGTATGTATTACACTGTAGTCTGTAGTGCAACTTGATTACCTAGTTCAGCGCTTGGCGTGATACGATACTCTCCTTGCTGACTTGGTCAAGTAACTAACAGAGTTCACAGACTCGTGCAGGCCACGCTTCGGGTGCATTCCAGTGAATGAATGGCTCTATCTCCCCGAACCCATCAGCCATCAGCCATCAATCAATCAATCAATCTCCGTGGAACCACGGGCCTCTTCTTATTTCTTAACTTTAGTTAGTGCTAGTGCTCGCTGTAGCCTCTAGTCTTTAGGCTGTGCCGCACACCCACTCCCCGGGCCCGAACCATGATCGACAACCAGCGCTGAAACCTGCTTCTTCCTCCCTTGAACCAAAAACGAACCACCCATCAAAAGGGCCAAGCCAAGCACACGTTACGAGATTTAATTAAACTTTCTGGGCATTTTAAGCGAGACCTTTGACCTTTCTCTCTCTCTCTTGACCGGAAACAACCAAGGGAATGAGATGTGATCAACATGCGCATTTCTCAAAAGTCGCTATGTATGTATTTGAACTTTGACGTGAGTTCAAGAGGAAATGCCACCGAGTGGTCCGTGATGTTTCTTTCTCTCTTTCTCCTCTGTTTAGGTTTGGGTGCCCAAGCTGGGCATTACTCTACTCTACTCGAAACACGGGCCTGAGACATTTTCTTAAGTGTCAGTGTCTTTTGAGGTTTTTTTGATCAGATAGCGGTGAGACTGAGGCCAAACAGACTATTGATTTCTTGTCTGTTATTAGTGACTGGGCTGGGTTAAGTTGAGATAATGCAATGCATGCAGCAGAGTTCCATTTCCCTGCTTGTCTCACGTTGAGTGGCCGGCAGTTTTAAATGGCCTCTGCGGTGTACATAAACTACATCTGTACTTTGTTATAGCCAGGGTATCATGGAGTATCATTTGATTCTGTGTATCCGTACTTGTCAATACTTGAAATGTTATCAGTAGTCTCTCATGTTTCCCTGAATAGCTTCACCCACCTTCACCAACTTCACCACCACCACCAACACCACCTTCTCGTCTCTGTGATGTGAGCAGTAAGATTGTCTTCCACTTTCATCCTTCGTCCATCGCCCCAATAATCGTCTCCTCCTCATCACGCTACCCTCCTCGAGCCCGCCTCACCTTTTGACCTCTGCCCATCTAATTCGCTGCAACCATCTCCACACATCCATTCCAAAAACTCATGCCGTTCGCCCTAACTAAACTATCCCTGCTCATTGGGCGCCACGTTCTCGCCTTGTTTTTTCCTTTCCTTTCGTTTCTTTTTTTTCTCGCTCTCGCAAGCGTTGCATCGCTAACGCCCGCCCCACGATGCACGAGTTCCAGGGATGGTTAAGTTGCTTTTTTCTACTTCGGCTCGCATGCAGCTCGAGCGGGAGCACCGTAATGCTAGACCGGGGTCTATAGTACGTGACGCTATTCCGAAGCCTTTGTGAGACATCATCGTGTTGGCTGTTGCTGTTAGTCGAGACGGACAGTCAGGTTCACTCAAGTTCACATGGCACAGCATGCATAGTTGGAACAGTTTGTATGAGTGAGGTATCTTATTGTGTGTATCATCTTTCATTCATAGGATGATCGGCAGATGCATCTCTTGTGCAAGGTGCCGTCTATCCCTAAGTAAACGTATGGTTGCGCAATATGCGCTGTGGCTATTGAGCCATGTCCTCTTCGCTCTAATCTTTGCTTGCCCGAGACCAAGAGTCAAGTCCATATGACTCCTGACCCATGTCAACTTCTTTTCCTCCTCTTATTGAAAAGTCCCCATCCGATCCGTCATGACAAAAATAGTAAAGAGGTATCTTTGATCCAGTTCAAGTGCAAGCCATGGCCGTTCTTCCCGCTTCTATCACAAAAGACAGACGCCTTTCCAGACAGTAATAGCATAACAAAAACGAGGAGTAGAAGAACAACAGTCATTATCCTCTGGAATTCCTTGGGCAAACAAACATGAGCTCTTCCTTGGGCTGGTAGAAAAATGAACATAAACGAGGATCGGACAAGCGACAACTCCAATCTTTCCAAGTCTTCTTTTCTGTCTCTGCAGAAATGACAACAAAGTTCGCCTCCCATAAGTCTCGATGCGCCAAACGTCATGCTTCTACAACTGACATCTTGCCCATCCTCATAATATTCGAAAAGACAAAACTCCTCGCTTTTTAAATAAGTGTTTTGTAAGTGAAGTAAAGAAATGTTTTGTAACAAAGAAAAT